GGCTAGAGCCAATCAGACCGCTACCCAGACCGAACCCACTTTCCTATTGGTCTCTGGGGTCTTTGGGACTCCCCTGGAGTGAGCCTAGGTGAATCAGTATTTGGCTTGGGGTGCAGGGGTAGCGCCGCAGGCCCCGGGCATCCTTTGTCCACGACCCCTGAATTGGACAGCAGCCGGAGGGCGGAGCTCAGCTCTCGGCGGGCTCGGAGAAGGGAGGCAGGCAGCATGGGGGTGAGGGTGTGCCAGTCCCAGAAGGAAATCTTGGGTCTCCACCTGGTTAATCGCCCACCCTGTCGTTGAGCTTGATAAAAGGACCAGGGAAGGGAAGCAATGGAGTTGTGTGTCCCAGGGGTGGAGCTTCGGGCTGGAGGGGGCCGGTCTTGGGGGAAGCAGGCAGAACCAGGGAAAGGCAGGGGTAGGCACGGTCTGGGCGTGGCTTCCACCAACCTCTTGGGTTTATTGGTGGCTCTCCAAAGTCCACTTCTGACACTTTGATCCAGACCTGCTGGCCCTAACTTGCTGGCCTGACCTCACGTAGATACTCCCAAGCTTCACCCACTGCCCCTAGGGATCCTGTGAAAGGGCGTAGACTCTGCGAGGGGGCTACGTTCTTGAACACGTGGACCCAGGCAGATAGCGCCAGACCGCAGAGCCCGGATTCCCCAGAAACAGAGCGAGGACTCCTGAAAAGGGAGCCGCTAGGATCTTGAGTGGGGGGGAGGGGATGAAAGCACAAACCTGGGCTTTACCAACTCTTAACCTTCATAGTCTCCACCCGCTGCCTCAGTTTCCCCTTCTTGAATTACAATATGACTTAGGGGGAGGCTGTCTACGTGACAGGAACTTCGCGGAGCTGCTCCCTTCGCTCACCTCCACCCTACCGGTTGCAGGTCCCCGTAGGTCTGTGCTTTCCACGCGCGCACACGCACGCGCAGACCCCGGCCCTCGCCCCGCCTACCTCTGCGAGTTCTGGGGTTCAGACAGCTCTAGCTCCTTCCCGCCGCTGGGGCACTCCAAAAAGGTGTGTGTGAAGCGCAGGGCTGCAAGAGTGCTGGGCGCAAAGGGTGTGGGGGAGACATCGAAGATTAGACATCGGTAAGCACTTCCCCAACGTGTGCAAGAGGTAGACACAGCGGTACCAAGCAGGTCGGTCAGTTCCCTCTCTCGGAGCGCTAAGGGCGCTGCGGAGAATCCGAAGGATGGACTGGATGACCTCTGTATCCCTCTCCCCCGACTCTCTGGCGTTCTTCACTCTCCACGCAGCCCCGGCGAACCGCCGTCGCGGAGATAGGGGGCATCTCAGCTCCCGCCCGGCCAGCTGCGGGGCAGGGGGGTGGAGGCAGAGGGGCTGCTGCGCTGGTCGCCTTCCTTATTGTCCTTTCGTCAAATCCGCGCACTGAGTTGTGCAAATGAGGCCGGGCTCATCTGCATTTCATGCTAATAAGATTTCCCTAAGTGCCTTTTTTTCCTGGCGGGAGTCTCTGCTCTCATTCCTAGTGTGCCGCGCCAGAGTCTTGAACTCTGGGCAGTCTTTTGGGAGAGGGGGGCTATTTATGGTTGCACCGCGTGTCTGACGCCGTCTGCCCTCCTGCCGGTCCGCACTGGGCAGGGTCGCCTGCTCCTTCTGCCGGGATAGAGCCTCCGGGCTAGCTCAGAGAGGTAGGGACTCTCATCACCCAATCTTTACAGAGGCAGGAATTGAGGCCAGAGAGCCTTGCCCAGACCCATGGTCAGGTTCCCTGGTGGTCAGCAAGCCCCACATCTCATCCTTCATCCAGGCCATCCTTGGTCTCTGGGCTGACCTCTGTTCTAGAACATACCCAGAAAGGAGGGCAGGCATAAACGGATGTGGATAAATTGAGATCCACATCTATTTCCCTGGGTTTGGGGCCTGGAGGAGACGTGCCACCCAAGACATCCTCATCCCGGTACTGGGGCACCAAAGGACTGTGGTCCAGTCAAAGATGCTCCCCCTTAGCCTAAGTGGGGAAGGGGTGGGGAGGCAGGACCCACTAACTTCAGCCTTCCAAGCCTCAGCCCTTCTGACATCACCTCCTTAGAGTGGCCTTCTTTCCAGCAAGGATTTCAATGCCTATGTAGTGCTAAGGTGCTGAGCATACAGTATGAGCCAGACCAAGTCTGGAACCCTGTAGCACTTAGCCCAGGCTGGGATTGTATATGTATATTTGTGGTAATGACTGCCTCCCCCTCCAGCCTCTGTGTTCCCCAAGGGACTGTCCATTTTGCTTACTAGGACCTGGTCTAAGGGTTTGGCACATAGTTATTAGGTGAATGAATAATATCCTCAGGCAGGGAGGGGGAAGGAGAGAGGCAAGAAATTCCTTTCTTTGGGCTGCAGTTTCCAACAAGGAAGTTAAGCTGAAATGTCTAAGACCTCTTCTGCCCTCGTGGGCAGCACCCTGCTTGGCTAGCAGCTCCAGCCCCCTCCAGGGCTGCTGCAATGGTCCCTCCCTTACAGCCCATTTGGCTCCCCCAGGATCAGAGATCTCTTCCCATCTGTGATACTCTTTGCTCAGGGATACAGACATTAACCCATTTAGTCCCCTCAACAGCCCTGAGAGCTGAGTGGGTGGTCCCCCATTTTTTTCAGATAAGGAAGCTGAGGCTTAGAGAGATGAAATGACTGAAGTGACTGCCCACACCCCATGGCCCTGACCCTGCCCACAACTGCACTGCTGGGAGAGCAGGAACACACAAGCAAAAGGCTCTAGCAGCAAAGGGAAAGGGAGGCTGCCCAAACTTTTAAAATCCCACATCTGAGCAAAATTTATGTTCAGCACTGCCCTCCTTAGAAATTCAAGCCTTTGGGCGGCATCTGAGGCTCAATGAGTAGGGCACCAGCCCCATATACCGAGGGTAGCGGGTTCAAACCTGGCCCTGGCCAAACTGCAACAAAAAACAGCCGGGTGTTGTGGCAGGTGCCTGTAGTCCCAGTTACTCAGGAGGCTGAGGCAAGAGAATCACCTGGGCCTAAGAACTGGAGGTTGCTGTGAGCTGTGATGCCACAGCACTCTACCAAGGGCAACAAAGTAAGACTCTGTCTCTTAAAAAAAAAAAAAAAAAAGAAAGAAAGAAAAAGAAAAGAAATTCAAGCCCTCCTGGGAAAACTCACCCTTTAAGGCACTAACTCCTTCTTCTGAACCCACTTGCAGAATCCCATTGTCGTGTGTGTGCCTGACACCAGGAGAAGGGAAAGAGGAGACCAGAACACAAACTGGGTGAAGGGACAACACCAAATGCACTCTCCTTCCTGGGCCTCCTGGGAAGGAGGAAGCCTTAGGGTTTTTACTGTACCCTGAAGACCCCAGAAGGAGCCACAGGTACTGAGGAGTCACAGGCCAGTCTCTTAGCCTCTCTGGGCCTCAAACATTATCTACCAGTATGAGGCAAAAGGTACCTGCCTCACCAGCTCATTCATGAGAGTCAATGGGATGACAGTGGCAAAAGGGCTTGGCAAACTGCCCAGACTATTCCAAAGCCAGGTCTGGGGCTGCCAAAAAGGCCACCTGTGCTTCACCACACTCCATCCTCCCTCCCTGCTACCTCCCAGGCCCGGCTCTACTTGCCCAGCTCTCTCACTTCCTGGCAAGGCTGAGTGGGCTCCAGCTAGCAAGGGGCCAGCTGACCTTGTTGGCTGGAGCTCTAATCCCCTCCAGATGGGCCGGTGGCTTACACTGAGGGCCTGGCTGCCCAGCTGACTCTGGTCCTGGTGACCATGTGTGGCTGCGTGTGACCATGTGCAGGGAGCTACTCCATCCAGTCCGGAGCACCTTCCTGCTCCACTCCTCCCCACTGCTTCCCCAGGAAGTGGCCCTGTCCAGCTGCTCCTTATCTCTAGCAGCTGCTTTTAGCTATGCTGCTTGGTGGGGGGGCTATAAAGATACCCAGGACTCAGCAGACCCCTGAAGACCCCCAGGGGGCAGCTTGCCTCCCATCAACCTCATCCTCCACACCAGCCTTTCTGAAAATATGCTTCCCACTTGCCCCCCTCACCCTACCCTGTGGAGGATAGATGGGGTTTCTGGAGCCTGTCAAGATGTATGTGCCAAAGATGGGACTCAAGAGCATCTCTCAACACTGAGCAGGCGGAGGGGGTCACAGGTAGAGCCTGGCTTTCTCTGCAGCATGAAGGGCTCAGATTTGGGGAAGGACTTTTTTTTTTTTTTGAGACAGAGCCTCAAGCTGTCACCCTGGGTAGAGTGCTATGTCATCACAGCTCACAGCAACCTCCAACTCCTGGGCTCAAGCGAGTCTCCTGCCTCTGCCTCCCAACTAGTTAGGATTACAGGTGCCCGTCACAATGCCCAGCTATTTTTTTTCTTTTTTTGGTTGCAGCCCTCATTGTTGTTTGGCAGGCCCAGGCTGGATTCAAACCCGCCAGCTCAGGTGTATGTGGTTGGCACCTTAGCCACTTGAGCCACAGGCGTCAGGCCTGGGGAAGGACTTCTAACCCAACAGATGCTCCAAATGAAAGAGAACTTTCCCCAGACCAGCTTGCATGGCAGCAGAGGGGTGGCCAGTATGACCTCCTCTAGGGAGGTCATGCTTCCATCTTGGTGTGGTGGGGGCTAGATGGACACGCCCAAAGAAATGTTTTAGTCCTGGTAACAGCAGCTCTGCAGTACACCAGGGCATGTGCAAATGCCACTATTCCATGAAATATAAAATATTCACATAGACCATTTCCTGCCCCTGCCCTGGCTCAAGAGCAGGAGACAATGAGGAGGGAAGGCAGGTTCCCTTCTTAGCATCTCCTAGAGGTGAGGATTGGGCTTTCCTCTCCTGGGCCAGTCCACACCCCAAGCCCACCTCTAGTGATCTGCATTTGGTTTTAGTCCTCTGATCACAGTTTCATTCAGGCTGCAAATGACCATGGATGGGGGCAGGGTCAACCTGGTGACCTCCAGAAGGTAGTGTGGGGAGGCAGAGGCCCTGGGCTGCCGGTTCTCTCCCTCACAAGTGAGGCTGAGATCCTGAGGTTACCGCGGGACGCTGTTAGGTTTATTCCAGGGCGAGTGGGGTACCCACGGGGAGGCAGTGAGGATGGCCAAGGTCACCTGGTGGCACTGTGCCCAGGGATGGCCACAGGTTCTGCAGGGCCCTGCAGAGTCTGAGTCTCTGGTCATTTGGAAAGCTCTGTCTTCTGCCCAGCCCTCGAGGGTCGGGCAGTCACTGATGGAGCAGTTTTCGTAACTCGCAGGGCTCAGTGATGGGCATGGAGCAGGCTTGATTCTCATACACATAGGCAGTGGCCCGGTCTTCTAGCCGTCGCAGGGTACTCAGGAAAGGCAGTTGGCGGGACATGAAGCTCGAGGGGTCCCCATCAGACAGAATCAGTACCTGGAGCAGAACAGCAGAAAGGGTCACTTGGGGGGCATAGGGCCAACTGGGAGTTGACCTCTCCCCAAGCCTTCAGAGGGGATGGAAATGTTGGAGAGCAGGGAGAGGGCAGCTCAGAGGAGGTGGGGTTGGGCCCACAGGGACAAGCACCTTGTTAGGAATGTACATAGAGTGGACACACTGCACCAGAGCCTTGGTGTCCTTCGCCTGGCGGTCTCCACAGATCACGATCTGGCCGGAATAGAAAGGTCATTCCAATGTCAGATGAGAGAGGGGCCGAGGCCCAACCTTCCACAGCTTCCTCATCCTCCTCCCTCCACCCTACCCTGTAACCCTAAGAAGAAATCGGACTCTTCTCAGCTGCCAGGAGGCTGCATCAGATTTAATGCTTAGCAAGGGGGAAATATGCACACACATACACACACAGGAGAAGACACGATGTGGCAATGTCATACATAGAGACAGAGATACAAACACAGGACAACATGGAGGACACAGATGCATCCAGAGAGACATGGAGTAGTCACAAATAGGTGTACACACACAGAGCCAGACGCCACATGTACAAACACCAGACCACGCACACCCAGGCACAGATGCAAACATGCCAATGGAAGCAGGCAAAGCTGAGACAGGGGTATCCGTGCAGACAGGCAAATACCAGGATACCTGCAAAAGGCAGGTGCACAGAGACACACACACACCCCTCCAGGGTCCCACACAGCAATGACACAATAGGGACAGACATAATTACACTGATACACAGAGACAGAGAAATATTCCACTAGCCACAAGGGACCCATATTTAGCCCATATCTCCAGTCCCCATACGCTGGCAACAGGACTAGTGACAGACTCGCACACAGGCCTGGGCCGAGACCTGTCTCCTCGAACACTGACATCTCCACCGCAGAGAGTAGCACACACACCCCTGAGCTCTGAGGACAGCCCCCATTGTAGCCCCAGATCTCCTGCTACCTGTGGTCCCAGCCCAAGTGCCTGCTCCCCTCACCTGCTTGAGCGTCTGCTGATGGGCTGAGAGGGTGCGGACCATCTCAGGCAGTGCCACAGGGACACGGCGCATGCGCTCTGAGAAGGCAGTCAGCAGGCACACACACTTGTCCATCCAGTCCCTGTGACCCGTGAAGCCATGCAGCCGAAGCAGGTTGTGGGCTGACACAGAGTTGGCACTGGGCTCTGCACCATCCTGGTCTGCAGGGGGTGGAGAGGCAGGGGGTGAGGGCAAGGGACCCTGCCCCAGCATTGGGGCCGTCCAGGGGCCCCAAGGGGAGGGACAGAGAAGAGGCCCTGCCTACCCAGCTCCTCCTCTGGTCCGTGAGTTAAAGGCCACCCCCTGCAGTTATTGATGCTTCACGCTCTCATGGGCATCCTCAACTCCATTTGTGCCAGTTGGAACTCCTAGTCCTCAGGATCCACCTCACTGAGACCTCTGCCCAGCCACCCAGCTGCCCAAGTCAGAGTACCTTCATCCTTGTTCCCGTCCTCTCTCTCCCTCATCCTTCACTTCTAATCCATCTATGACAGCTGCTGGGGCTGCAGCCACAATAACTCCAAATCTCACCACGTCTCTCCATCTCTGCCCCTCTACCATTATTCAAATCTCTGCCCATGCTTGCCTAGAGTGAATACCACTGATGGCCTCTTAAGTTCCCCCCTACTCCCCTGCCCCATCCCTTTTCCACCATTGGCCAGAGTGACCTCCTTAAATGTAAACCACACTAGTTCACAAGCTGCTCAAAACCTCCTTGCTCAGCCACCTCTGCCCTCAGGTGCAGGTTGTTCCCTCCCTGCCTGAACCTGAACTCTATCCTAGCTCCTCTGCCACCACATAACCCCTCTTGCCCTCCAAACCTTGGTTAAATGACACCTGTTACAGGTATAATCTGATCTCTCCCAGGCCAGGGTGGGTCTTCTCTGTACTTTGCTTTCAAGGCCCTTTCATCCCCTCAACTAACATTTATGGAGCACTCACTATGTGCCAGGACTGCACCAGACCCTGGGGATACTGCAGTGACAAAGTCCTGCTCTTTGAAGAGCTGAAACTTGAATGGGAGACCATTAACCACAGTCAAGGCATGGAGGTGATCAAGGGACAGATACTTAGTAGAGGGTCCTACTTCTCCATGGCACACACCACAGTTTAAACTACATGTTGGTGCATGCATTTTTGCATTATAACTGTTTATTAGTTGTCTCCCTCTCTCTATTTTAAGCTGCGTGAGGGCAAGGACCACATCAGCCTTATTTAATGTCTGAATCCATGGGTGCCAGTCAGTGTGCTAAGTGTGTGCACAGGACAGCTAAATCAATCTTTACAGCAACCCTGTAAGGTAGTGCCAATGCTAGCTTCATTTTGCCTATTAAGAAATCAAGACTCAAAAATAGGAGACCAACCCAAAGTCACACAGTTGATAAGTAGCAGAGATGTGATGCCAGGAAGGCTCTTGCCTATGCCTGCTGTTCACCACTACACTGCACTTACAGCTCCCCCAGGGAAAACCAAGCCTCAGCTAGGGCCAGGACTCCAGGCAAGCCCCATACCCCCACTGACCATCCTTCAGGCGCAGGGGCAGGCCAGCCCCCAGCTCAGCCTCGCTGCAGAAGTAGCCACCACCCTGGCAGTCCCAGAAGAGCCTGTCCTGTGTGTCTTGTAGCCGCAGAGCCCACTCAAGCCAGGCGCTCTCCTGTGAGGCCTCGTACAGGTCCAGCAGACCCCGCACCACGAAGGCATAGTCCTCCAGGAAGCCCCAGCAGGGCGGGTTGCTGGGGAAAGGCATAAGGGGAGGGGCTGGGACAGGCTCAAGAAAGGGGGCCTTTCACAGAGGGGGCCTCTTTCATGCATTTGTTCATTTAGCCCTCCCAGTGAACCCTCTTGGGTAGGCACCCTCATTTCCTAGTTGAGTAAAGGAGCCCAGAGAGGATGAGAGCTCACAGCAAGCACTGGCAGAGCCAGAATTGGAGCCCACTAGAGGGGAGATGTGGGGCAGAGGCAGGCAGGGACACACAGGGAGATGAACCCTCCAGTCTGCACTGCTCCCTACCTGTGCTCCACAGTCCCCCCTGAGCCAGTGTAGCAGGTCCGCATCAGACGGCCAGTGGCCACATCAAACATGTGTCGCTTCAGGAACTTGGCACCACTGGTGGCACAGTTGATCAGCTTCTCTATGCCCAGGACAGCCCCAGTCACAGCATAGCCAGACACCATCAGGCCTAGAGGCAAAAGAGATCAGTGATGGTAAGAAGCTGGCCAGGGCCCCTCCAGCCCATGCACCCTAACACCCCTCTGGAGCAGTGGGGTAGGAAGGGACAGCTTGGGTCCTGGAGCCAGGCAGGGCAGGGTTCCCTGCCTTGTGTGTGACCTTGGGCATGATAACTACTACAGCTCTCTAAGCCTGTTTGCTCCTTTGTAAAATGAGGGCAAGAAACCTAAGGAAGGAAGACTTAGCATTTAGCTAGTGCCTGACAGACAAAAGGGGCTTTGGGAAGGGTGATCCTACGAAAAGGTGTTAGGCTCAGACATGCCGTCCCACCATTCCAGGCAGCCAGCATCTTGTTGTCCAGGTGTGGCTTGGGCCGGTGTTTCCGGGCCTGGAAGAGCTTCTCCAGCCCGGTATTGAGCAAGGTCCGCACAGCCTCCACGTCCAGGCCAAAGCGGGCGGCTGTCAGCTCCAGTGAATACCGCACAGTCAGCACATTCTGGCCCTGCAGCTCCCCCTTGGGGTCCTGCGGAAAACAGCCTTTGCCGGGTGCCCACAGGCCAGGCAGGCTCCGGCCCCTTCCCATGTCCCCAGAAGCCCTCACCTGACTGAGGCCAATGTTGCCGGCCTCCGTGAGCCCATAGTGCTTCATGAGGAGCTGGCCTGAGGTCAGCGGCTCAGTGGCGCCAGGTATAGGCTCAGGCAGGAGGTGCTGGACCTCTTTGACTGTCCACACATAGAAGGCGCCCTCTTTGGGCCGCATGCCACGCTCTGGGGGTGAGTCTGCGTCCTCTGCACAGTAGAAGCCTCCAAACTGAGGGGAGGGAGAATTGGCTGGCTCCAGCCTAAAGGGCAGTGGAGGTCCCAACCCCACCACATGCCCCCAGCCAGGCCAGCCTGCCTCATGGACACACACCCGGTGGGTCAGGCTTCGAGACACGTACTGCAGGATGCCTTTGGCGACATCAGAGAAGAATTCATCCCCAGAGATCTGAGAAGGGAAAGAAAGGAGGCTGAAAATAGAGGTCACTGGGGCTGCCTAGGGACTTTGTGGGAGGGTGACATTCTTCCAGGAAGATAGGAGGGAAGCCTGGGTGTATGGAAGGGAATTAGAAGTTTAGATTAAGTGGGAGCCATAATCACCTGGAAGGCATGTGAATAGGCCACTGCAAGCTGTGCCTGGTCATAGAGCATCTTCTCAAAATGTGGGACGTGCCACTGGCGGTCCGTGGAGTAGCGATGAAAGCCCTGTGCCAGGCGGGATGCAGGGCTGGAGGCTGATCCCAGCCTCTGCCCAACCCCACCACCCCTCACCACCCCTCCAGAAAACCCTCAGCCCCCTCACCTGTCCCACATGGTCCCGGATGCCCCCATTGGCCATCATTTTCAGGGTGTGTAGGGCCATCTGCTGGGCCCGAGAGCCATCCTGAGTCAGTCGATGGTTAAGCCAGTAGAAGAACAGGAAGTTCAGGATCACTGTGGGGCACCAAAAACACATGGGGAATGTAGGAAATCTGGGAGGTCAGGAGGCTCCTGGTCAGGTCTGGGCTAGGAGTTCTCCCAACAGGCAGTCTCTGGACAGGCTGGGAATTGGGAGATGAACAGTAATCCCAGAGAACAGAAGATTACTGTCCAAGCTAGAGGTCAGAATATTGGCCCAAAGAGGACCAGAAAATGGCTGACCAGATCAGAGACCAGAAAGTCATTAGCCAAGCCAGGACTACAAAGGTCAGTTCCTTATCTAGGGCAAGGTCACAGGGTCACTGCTATGTCCAGTAGTCAAGTCTTTACTGACAGGCCAGAAGTAAGAAGGTCACTGGCTGGTCAGGGAGACAGGAGGCTTAGGACTGAGCTGAAGGTTAGTAGATCATTGAATAGGACAGGATCAGAAGGCCAGGCTTAGGGTAAGGTGGGCACATGGGACACTGACCTGGTGTGGGAAACTTAGGGGCCTCCGCAAAGCCACCATATTCTTCGTCATAGCCTTCATCCAGCTGCTGGAAGCAGCGGCTGTTCATGGTGGCGGCAGAAGGTGGCAGCTGGCGGTCACCCATGCTGATCTCTGACCGGGCCAGCAGGGCTGTTGTGACACGCTGGCTATTTTCTAGCAGGGTGTTCTTGTTCTGTTTCCACTTTTGGAGGTAGGGGAACACCTGGGAGTCAGCTTGTCCCCTCATCACCCACCCTGGTCCCCCACTCCCCAGAGCAAACCCACCTGATCTCGGATTCTCAGCAACACTGTGCGGAAGCCAACTCGGGTCAAGCCATCCTCAGGAGGGAAGTAGGTGCCCCCAACAAAGGGCTGGAGGTTGGGGGTCAGCCACACGTTCATAGGCCAGCCCCCACCACTGCTAGTGGCCTGGTAGAGAGAGCACAAGTATGAGCGGAGACTCCCCCAGAGCTGGAGCAGCACACACACTTGAGTGGGAAGACCGCTCACCTGCACAAATGTCATGTACACCTTGTCCACATCTGGCCGCTCCTCACGGTCCACCTTCACACTGATGAAATCCTCGCTGAGCAGGCGGCCAATCTCCTCATTCTGGAATGACTCCTCCTCCATCATGTGGCACCAGTGGCAGGTGGAATAGCCCACTGGAATGGGGCCGAGAAGAGGCCGGGAGCCAGTGATGGGTCAGGAGCCAGCCAAGGGGTCCCAGCTGGCCTGAATTGGTCCTGACCTTTAGTCTCCTGGTAGCCCCCAGAGCCCAGAGGACCTTCCCCCATCCCAGGGAAAGTGGGTGCACTACCTGAGAGAAAAATTGGCTTGTTTTCTTTCCTGGCCTTGTCAAAGGCTTCTTGTCCCCAGGGGTACCTATGCAAAGCAAGTGGGGCATCACTCAGCAGACCAGGAGGTTGAGGAGGGGCCTGGGACCCCAGCTGCTTTGGGAGGACATCGGGAGAATACTCACCAGTCCACGGGATTGTAGGCATGTTGTAGGAGGTACGGTGACTTCTCATTGATCAGGCGGTTGTGAGTCCTCTGAGGCACAGATGGTGGACAGCTAGATCGGCTTCCCTTTCCTCCAGCAGGCATGGGCACTGAACTACTGACCGTCGAACTCCGGTCCTTGTCCCGGGAGGAGCTACCCCTGGAGAGGCCGGTGTGTCACACAAGAAAAAGAGGAACTCCTCCAACTTCCCCTGGACCCCTGGCACCTGCCCCATGCCACTCAGCCCCCTGCCCCACACAGAACACACCTTTCTGAGCCACGAGGGAGACCGTGGCCTTTGTGCTCCCCCTTATGTTTTGGGGGGGGTGAGGAGAGGTGGCTCATTGGGGGCTCCCTGCCAGGTTAGTCTCCCCCAACCTCTCGGACTCGATGGTAGGAAGAATGACTGTGAGGTCGAGGCGAGTCACAAAGGACAGAATGGTCGTTGGGGCTCCGTTCTCTCCCCCTAACAGGGCCCCTCCCAGTGTGGCTGTGTAGAGGTGGCTCACTGGCAGGCCTGGGTGCATGAGCGGGCAGGAGAGCTGCCTACTGCTGGTGGCTGCAAAGGCCAAGAAAAGTCAGATTTGGGACTGGACCAGGTTGAGGGCAACCAGAGGAAGATAGACACCAAGTCTCCCTCATTCCACAGCCACCTGTGGAGCACTTTTGCAGGGCCAGGTCCTGTGCTAGACCCCCAGGACACCTAGAGAATCCCAGATAGGCCCTGACCTCAGGAAGTTCAGTCTGGGAGGGTGGTACTGCCGGGCAGACCCAAACAATGACAGGTCTGAGCAGTAGTAGAGGACTGTGACAGGATATGGGGTACTGTCGAGGAAGGCCTTTGGCCCAGTACTGGGGCTCAAGGAAGGCTTCTTGGAGGCAGTGTCAGGACAGTCCTTGGGGAGCCAGATGTACGGGGGTGGACGTGGGGGGCCTCCTGCAGGGTCCAGGTCTATAGACCATAGGAGCCGACCAGGAGATGGGATGGGGCCAGAACCAGGTATGTAGGGGTGGTCTGGGCAGGCATTGGGAACCAGCTCCGGAAAGACCAGCCTCCCGGCCTGCTGGCGCAGGGCGTGCCAGAGCGGCCCAAATGCCTGCTAGCCAGTACCTGCAGTTTGCTTGCCTGGTGCGGCACAGCAGAAGGCCGCGGCCCAGCCAGGCCCGCGAACCCAGCATGGCTGCTCGGGCCGTGGGCCGAGATGCTGCGGACAGGAAGGGACCAGGAGACTGCGAGGGGCGGACCAGGCCCGGAGAGAGCCGTTAGCGAGTCATCGCTGAGGCTCTGGGCTGCGTGGCTGGTCTCCGAGCGCCGCTCGGCGGCCAAAGGCGGAATTGCAGACCAGACAGTCCGAGCTTGCAAGTGTGGTTCAGAAAACTGGGTGGGCTCAACTTGATTAAACCCTTGTCTGAGGGAGGACGACCCTCCCGATGGAAATAGGAAGAGCTGTGGGATGCTAGGGCCATGAAATATCAGGGCTTCAGCTCATTTTTCCCAACCTTTGCCCATTCCCCGTTTTCAAATAAGAAACAAAGCCCGAGCCCAAAGCATGCCTTGCCCAGGTCCACCTGCTTTGGGCTTTGGTTTGCACAGCCTCCCTATCCGAAGGCCCTGCTCAAATCCCACACACCCCAGGAAGTCTTCCCTGAATAATAACAATTTTATGCGCTAAGCATACTTTGCACACTTGCCTTATTTGTTACTGAATAAATTAATCTACCACCACCCAACAGTGACAAGGGCCTTGTGAGGGGGTGTAACAACACAAGGGACCTGATCTGTTGGAAAGCTCATGGGAGAAAGGCTTCCCTGAGGGAACCACATTTGTGTAGTAGCTACACAGAGAGAGAGGAGGGAACTTAGAGGGAGCATGGGGAGAGTGCTGGGGAAGGAGGCAGAAGGAACAGGATATGCAAAGGCCCTGTGGCATGTCAGTGAGACAGGGCTGAGGAACTACAGAAAGAAAGACAGGTAGTAGATGAGGTTAGGTGCAAGAAGGATGGAGTGTGTACACTGTCAGACTCCTGAGAAAACAAACAGGTCTTGGAGGGACTTGTGAACTATAGAAGGGAATTTTTGAAATATAGAGATGGGGTCATCCCATATTGCCCAGGCTGGTCTCAAACTACTGGCCTCAAGAAATCCTCCCACATCAGCCTCCCAAAGTGCAGGGATTATAGGTGTGAGCCACCAGGCCCAGCTAGTAGGGAATTTTGATGAGACCAGAAAGAACTTATTGAAGGACTTTAGTCAGGAGAGTGACCCAACTAATCTGCATTTTGGAAATAGTCTACTAGACCAGTGGTTCTCCACCTGTGGGTCGCGACCCACAGGAACTGTATTAAAGGGTCATGGGATTAGGAAGGTTGAGAACCACTGTACTAGACACTCAGTGGAGAAAGGGGCAAGAGTGGAGAAGGGGCAGTTAGGAAGTCAACAGCACCCAGGGGATGGCGATATAGAGAAGGGGATGGGCTGGAGGTTGGAAGGAGAAGCACCATTAGGATTCCTAGTTAAAGGGGGGGAGGGGGGAATGGGTGGAGGCAGGGGGATTAGAGGGTTCACTTCTGTGGTTTATCTTACAAGGGTACAAGTGAATCTATGAGTAGAATATGAACATTTTAACACAATAATTAAGAAAATGACATGAAGGCTATGTTAACCAGTTTGATGGAAGTGTTTTGGATTGTGTGTGAACACACCACACTGTACCCGAGAAGTGCATTAATGTACACAGTTACCATTCAATTAAAGAAAAAGAGAGAGAGAGAGAAATAAAATTTAAAAATAATAATAATAAAAAAAAAAGGATTCCTAGTTAGGAAAAGGGAGTGTCCAGCCTGACTTGCATGGTGGGGCCATTCCCTGAAGGGGAGGGCATGGTTCATGAGGTTCATTTTTGGCCCTCTTGGTCTGAGTTGCTTTTGAGTATGTGCACACAGGGATGGAGATGACAGAGCTTAGAGCACAGAGGAGAGGCTGTGGAGACAATGTGGGTGTGGAAAGTTCTTCCAGGGAGATGGTGCAGCAAGCAGGGAATAGGACTCAGGTCTGGGCTCGAGTGGTCCTGAGGAAGATATAGACAGGGACCAGCCAGTGTATAAAGGGGAAACCCAGCGAGAGTGGCCACCCAGCAGCAAAGAGGGTAAGGGGTGCACAAGAATGGAGAGTGTACACTGTCAGACTCCTGAGAAAGCAACCAGAATGGGATAGAAAAAGGTCTCTGTCCCCACGGTGGGTTGGGGGGGGGCATTATCCCAGTGAAGTCAGATGGTGGGTGGGGAGCCAAGTGGAGTAGGAGAGAGGGGAAAGGAAGGGAAAAAGAAGAGTGGACAGGTATCTGGTGTGATGGAAAGGATAGAAAGACACTTTCAAGTTGGCTCAGTGCCCATAGCTCAGTAGTTATGGTGCCAGGCACATACACTGGGGCTAGTGGGTTCGAGCCCAGCTGGGCCTGCTAAACAACAACAACTATAAAAGAAAAGAAAAAAAAGTAGCTGGGCGTTGTAGCAGGTGCCTGTAGTCCCAGTTACTAGGAAGGCTGAGGCAAGAGAATCGCTTAAGCCTAAGAGTTGGAGGTTGCTGTGAGCTATGATGTTACGGCACTCTACTGAGGGTGACATTGACTCTGTCTCAAAAAAGAAAGAAAGGGCTCAGCGCCTGTGGCTCAAGCGGCTAAGGTGCCAGCCACATACACCTAAGGTGGCAGGTTTGAATCCCCAGCCCGGGCCACCAAACAACAATGATGGCTGCAACCAAAAAAATGGCCGGGCGCTGTGGCGGGCGCCTGTAGTCCCAGCTACTTGGGAGGCTGAGGCAGGAGACTCGCTTAAGCCCAGGAGTTGGAGGTTGCTGTGAGCGTGATGCCATGGCACTCTACCCAGGGGGATAGCTTGAGGCTCCGTCTCAAAAAAAAAAAAAAAGAAAAGAAAGAAAGAAAGACACTTTCGAGATGGATGAAGCTGGCTAAGACACATATGGATGGGAAGAATTTGGTCGAGACAAAGTGATTGAAGCTGTGGAGAGGAGATGGCTGATACTGTGCAGTTATGAGGGTGCCGAGCTGTAGGTGTCAGAGAGTGGCAGGCTGAGGGAGGGGTAGTCGGCTAAGTGCTCCAGGTGGAAGAGATGATGTTAAACTCAGAGAACTGGAAGCGGTCTTGAGTAGAGAGGAATCTGGGGTGATGACAAGCCAAAGGTATGACCATGGGCGAGAGTAGCTGAGAAGTTGAGGGGCAGAGAGGTCATCTAGGATAATGGAGTCACCTGACATTGAGGTGAGAGCTGGGTGAGATGACCATGTCCCAAGAACAAAGCATCCCAAGAACAAGGTGGAGTGACAGCCACAGGCATGGTAGAAGCAGGACAATCCGGTGGCACAAGTCTCCAGGGTCTAATGAGCAGGAAGATGGTTCAGAAGGACCTACAGGAAGCAAGGCTAGCAACCTCTTCTTTATGAGTTGTGAAATAGCTCCCCCACAAGTCCTAAGGGTCCAGCTAGTTTAGAAGAAGGCCTAGGTGAGGGGAACACAAAGGATGAATCAAGGACCAAGAAAGATGGAAGCTTCCCAGGTTTGGGTGTGGTAGATGGGGGTTGGACTCCAGGTACTGCTTGGCAAAACCAGGAGTGGGGGCTGCGGTGGGTTCATTCTTGGAAGAGGGTGGTCCCTGGGCTGAATGGACATTGGCCCAAGGGCATCTACACAGCACCTTAATAAGGAGGGGACTCTTGATCCCATCTGACAAGGAAACAGGCAGAGACATATGGAGCTTAAGTAATTTACTCAAGGTCAGAGATCATAACCACTTATTATTAAGTGATTACTATTATTAGGTTCAAACCTTGGAGCAGTTTTGAACAGTCAGTCTGACTCCTAAGCCAGTGTTCTTGTCTATTCTATCTGCTACTGTGGGACTACTTCCCCCAACCCCTACCTCAGGAAGGAGAATAGCATTGTGCCCACCCCACTGAATTTGGCATTTCTGGCCTATGAAAAGCTGTTTGCCCATAGCACCCCAAAAGAAAGCTGGGGGTGGCTGTAGACTGCTTGCAGAGACAGACCTTAGCACTGAGGACACATCAGTCTCCAGTGGTCCAGTGATCAGGGGCCAGAAAAAGAGTAAGAATGACTATGTGAAAGCCCCCCCCCCCCGATGTACCAAACCTGCCCCTACCCTTGGTAACCCAGAGCCCACATAGGGATCAGACTCCTTGGCTAAGGTTGAGTTTCTTGCCAGCCCTGGTGAGAAGGTAAAGCTGGATTTAAGATGACTGGGTAAGACACAGGAGCTCCTGCACCTACCCCATGCCACGGGCCTCTGGCTTATCTGCCCTGCTAATAAGCTCTGAGCTCCTAGAGGTTGTGGGTTTAGCAATTCCTGGATCCCTCCCAGGTGAGCACAGCACTTTGCTCACAGCAGTCGCTCAGTATTTGCTAAGTTAAATATAGAGCTCCTGCCCTGGAGCCAGACTGTCTGACTCTTGAGTTCCAGCCTCTCTCTGTGCTAGCTTTGTGACTTCCAGCATGCCACTTAACCTCTCTGTGCCCAGGTGTCCTTGCTTGCAAAATGAGAGCAGCGCCAGCTGCCAGAATGAGAAACCTGTGCAGTCACACCTCAGAGGGCTTTGAGCTTGGTTTTATGCTGCTGTCCCCATTTTGAAATTCTTAACCCAATTTTGAACAGAGACCCCCATTTTCATTTTGTACTGGGCTCACGAATTATGCAGGTGATCTGGGTGAGAGTGACGTTATGTACCTCAGAGAGACGTTTCAAGGATTAAACGAACTGATCTGCCTAAAGTGCTTAGCACATGAGTGTTCAATAAATGGAACCAAACGCCTATTGTCCCTTGCTGTTAGGTCACCCTCAGTGCCTACGTGTGATAAATGAATTCATCGAATCAGCGAGAACCTAGGAGCATCTGGAAGCGAAGGTGTCACGCTGATGGGGGATGAGGGTGAGGAGAGTTGAAAGGAGCTACAGAGGGTGTGGGAGCAGTTTGGGGACCCAGATGGAGGAGTAGTTTCCTCTGCCGCGGGTAATCCTTGTTGTGGTCCAGACCCGGCAGCCACGCCCCGCAGTAAGTCCACTTGGTGAGAGCAGAGGGCTAGGCGTCTGGTCTTTATTATGGGTGCGTTCAGTCTCCAGCTCCCAGGTCATCGCCAGTCTCTAGGTTCTGGAGCTGCTTTAGGGCCGGGTCACCGAAGTTTGTACCAGTGTTCAACACGCACCACCTCCCGGCTCCAGCCCGGAGGCGAAGCGCGCCTGCGCCAGCAGGCCTGGGGTGGAGCGGCGCTCAGAGGAACGGGTTGGTGCCGGGCTGAGAGGGCGGGTGCAGCGGCCCCGCGGAACCAGACGTGGGCAGCAGTGGCTGCTGGAGGCCGGCGAGCTGTGGCGCAAAGGCGCCGGCCTGGGGGAAGACGCTGACCGAGGCGGGGAGGGTCACGCCGGCCGGCACGCTGCTGAGCGGGAGGGGAAGGGAGGCACTGTAGGTCATGGAGCCCAGGGGCGCCCCTACGGGCCCGCCCGCCGCCAGGCCCAGTGCCGGCGACCCGGTTCGCATCTGGTTCAGTGTAGGCCTGCCCTGCTCGCCAGGGCCGAACGGGTTGGTGGGGGATGGAGCGCTGAGACCTGCAGAACGAGAGTGGGTGGGGGCTTGGAGCAGACTGGGGGACATAGCCCTAAACAGGGAGGGTCTTTGAGATGGGGAACCCGAGTAAGATTCTAGGGCGGAGAGAGCAGGCCCTCACCCCCACCCACCCCCGCCGTGTTGTGGGACGAGGTAATGACCTACCTGTCAGGAAGGGGTTCCGAGTCTTTGCAGCCTGGGGCGCCTTGACCAACGAGTCAAGGTTGACCAAGGAAGAGGCTGAGGGCCCCAGGAAGGACTCAGGAGTCCCGCACGCCCGGGTCTCCTTGCTGGGCTGCGTTAGTGCTTCCCCTAGTACTCCCATGTCAAAGGCATCTGGCTCCTTCATGCCATTTTGCTTAGAACTGGGGCTGGGCTCTCCAAACAGGTCCAGTTCTGCAATAGAAATGCTAGAGCTCATTGGTGGGGAGAGGGATTGGCACCCTACGTGGCAGGAGGAGGGCAAAGTGTCCTCTGGGTGGGCCCCTGTTCCCAGAGCCTCATCATCCCTAATCTCCTGCTCACCCACAGGGCTGCTGGGCTTCCCAGAAGGTGGAGCCTGGGCACACTTCAGGCCCTCCTTGGTCTCTGTGGATTCTGGAGGTTTGGCAAATGGGTCAAAGGTCGAGGTACCACCTAGAACTAGAAAAGGAGAAAGGGAGAGGAGATGTGTTGGCAGAAAGAGTAGGCACTGGTCTGGCACCTCTCTAGGGAAATGACCTTCTTGACACAGGCAGGATCTGCTCCCCCTTGGCACCGAAAGAGGACCCCAAAATCCTCCAGAACTTCACTGACACCCTCAGGCCCTGTACTTACCAGGTGTGTCAGAGGTGTCCATGGAGACCCCCCAAGGGTCAGCCCCAGCACTTGGAAGTTTGTGGTGGGGAGAGGTCGGTGCCCATGGGTCTGCGGTTGGGGGTCCAGCAGGCAGCACTGGGGTCCTGCCCCAGGGCTCAGAGGAGGAGAGCATAGGAGTCAAGTCCCAGGGCTGGCTTCGGGACAGGACATTTCCTGAGGGGACTGGAGACCAGGGGTCTGCAGAAGGCCCCCAGGATGAACCACCAGCCTCTGTGTTTGGCCTAAGACCTGAAATGGAAACAGTACGAACATGATCCCAGGCCCACCCAATCCTTTGTCCATGGTCCTTCCCAGTTACCCTGCCCTAGCTGGGAGGTGTGGAATCCATGGGCTGCTGACTCAGGACCACCCAGCAAGCTGAGTCCAAATTCAGCAAGTTAGCCCAGGAGCCTGGATCCCCAGGCAAGGGTGACTCAGGCTACCAGCTCAGTCCAAGATGGGCTAAGCAAGTGGGGGCAACAAGAATACATATGCTGCATTTCCCATGAACTGGGCATTTCAGACATGCTCCTGTGGCCCTCACTACAAAAGCTATGTCCCACAGACAGCAGAGGCTCAGGGAAGTGAGTGACTTGCCCAGTGACCTTAGTTATTAGAGGGAGATGCTTTGCCAGCAAGTGGCTGGGAATGAAGAGGCTCCCTGGGGCCAGCCTGGGAGCCTCTTGCAGCCCTCCTTGCCCACCTGGGATGTCCCATGGGTCAGCAGAGCAGTGTGTGGAGGGCGGGGCCGGGGCAGGTACGAAGATGTCGGCCAAGTCCAGGATGGAGGACTGTGGAGGGTAGAGGCAATCCTGGCTCAGAAGTGGGCGGGGCCCACAGGGAGGGTGGCCCTGACCTGTCAGCCTGACAACAGCTCATTCTCTCCTTTATTCATCTCACAAATATCTACTAATGACCCCTCACCTCTGTACATGGCTTTACAGTTTACAAAATGTTTTCTTATCCAGGAAGTACCTGATTTTCATAACCACCTTGTAAGGTAGGTAGGGCAGTGATATACCCATTTTATAGATCAACCAGGTGAGGCCCAGGGAGGGGAAAGGGTTTGCCTAAAGTCACACAGCCAAGGGGAAGCAGAGCCGGGATAGAATCCATGCCAGAGAGGGCAAAAAGGGCAAAGTCAGAGTTTTTCAAAATGAGCTTATCTCCCTAGGTCAATGTCCAAGAAAAACTGACCACAGTGAACATGGGCAGGAAGAAGACAGGTACCCCAACGGAGCACAGACAGCTTGGGAGGGTGGCCTTGCTCGCAGCAGTTACCCACTCTCCCTTCCTGGAATGGAGGTATGAGTCCAAGGTGTCTTCAGCCTGAGCCCACCTTGGCCTTGACCAACAGTATCATATAATCCTAGAATGTCAGAGCTGAAATTGTCTAATAAGCCCACCTTGCAGAAGAGAAACAGGCCAAGACAATGATGTGCCTCAAGCAATAAAGTGGGTGGCTGAAAATTCAGGGGTCTCACATCAGGATTCTTTTGGGTCCTGCTTTGCTGTCAGCTCAGTCACCAGCCCATGCATTATGGGACTAGAGGCTTCTACACCCCTAGTCCCCGTTTTCATTTAAAACACTTAAGTAGTGCTTACCATATACCAAGCATTATTCTGCACTCTTTACAAATACTAACTCATTTCACCTCCCAGGCCCTGTCCAGCCACACAGCAGCTCTACCTGGCTGGTTTTCAGCTTCTCCTTCTTTTTCTCTTCTCTCTCCGGCTCTCTGTCCTGCCGTAGGCGGCCAGTGGCCCCTGCACCATTGGCTATGGGGGAGTCATCTCCCTGCCAGGACCTCACCTCCTGCAGAAGGTACAGAGGCGTGAGGCTCATGAGCACAAAGGCTGGAGATAAGGAGAGAGTGCAGGGTAGGAGGCGACTGAGAGGTTAGGAGCACCAGGACCACAGGGTGCAGCAGGGGGCCTGTTAGTGACTGCATAGCACCTCCACCAGCACCAGCAGCAGCCCTGATGGGCTCAGCCACCACCCACTACCTTCTCGTGCTCCTGCTGGCTCAGGCGCAGAGCCAGCTGCAGCTGCAGGTCCTCGTCCCTGTGGGAGGCTGGGGGAACTGGCTGTGAGGGAGGAAGAGAGGGTAAACTTGACCAAGCGCTATCACACTGGGGCCAGAAGGGCCGCATAGTCTACCAGGTAACAGGGATGGAAGATGAAGTGCCCACCCTGAGTAGGGGTAGGCAGCATGCCCCCCCAGACAACAGTGTGGGTGCGGCCTTCTCCCTGCTTGGATCTGAGATGTAGTTTTAAAGGTCAGGAGAATTGACCTTTCTCCTCTGGACCCCTAAGAGCTCCCTAAGTCCTGCCCACGTGAGGCCCAGCTATTTCCTGCCTGGTCTTCCTAAATCCACAGAAGTAATGGTAAAAAAAGATGATATGAGGGGACCATCTCTGTCCCCTCCAAAAGGACAGCTGATGGAGGGCAGTATATCCCAGAGTCCTTGAGGGCTGTGTCTGTCAGCACACTCACCCGTCTATACCATGTGGCAGCAGGCACATGAGGTACCCCCACTGCACACTCACTGCCCTTTCCCAGCCTGCCTGAAGAGGACGGGAGGTGGCAGGAGTAGGGGGGGACCAGACCCTGCCTGGGACCAGCCCAAGGACATAAACAGACCCTGTGCTGTCCTTGGGTGTGTGAGTGGGGGTTTGGGGCCCAGGTGTCAGAGCTAGCCGAGGCTGAGGAGTACCCAGGCACCTTTCCCTCCTCCCAGGTCCCCTTCCTACCACACCTGCAGCCCCTCACCTTCTCAGCCTCCTCTCGACTCATGGCCAGGGCCAGCTGCAGCTGCAGCTCCTCTTCTCCTGACGTCTGAGGCCGGGCCTGCTCCAGGTCAGAGGTGTAGCGGGGGGATGAGGAGGAGGCTGCAACAACCATCGTGGCTCTGTGACCACACCAGTACCCACAGGCTCTCATCCCCCTCCACCTGCCAGGAGGCAGAGGGGAACAGAGGGAAAAGGTAACAACTGGCAGTCAAGAGCTCTCGTGGGCCAGGCAATGTGGGTACTGTAAGTTCACTGGCCCACCCAGTGGTGACAATTCTGATGGCCCCTGACCAGGGTCCTGAAGCATGACTTGAACCCAAGTCCCCTGACTCCAGCTCTTGAACTCTTCCAGATGAACCCCATCCTGCTTGAGACCAAGAGCATTAGGAGGGCAGGAGGTTCCAATCAATCAAGGGAACAGACTCAAAGCCCTTGGTAAACTGTCAAGGGCTTTAAGAAAAAGGGGCCATTCTGAGTATTCCTCAGATCAGAGAAGCCTCACCACTGGGGCAGGAGAGTCAGGCACTGCCCAGCAGCCAAGCCATCCCTATTCTCAAGGGCAGGGCCCTGAAGTGGAAGGAAGAGGGAGAATGCCAAGTGTCTGGGCACAGGGCTGAGGGCATTCCTGGACCTGGTCTCATTTAATTGTCAAATCAAAGAATGGAGGTAGGTAGGCTTATCCCCATTTTACAGATGAGAAGACTGAGTAAGGTTCAGAGAGCTAATTGCCCAGGTCATACAGCTTAGAAAAGGCCAGTATAAAGAATGCTGTCTGACCCCAGAGCCTATGCTTCTGCCACCATGCCATCCTATCAGACAGCTAACTAATAATAACAAATATGTAACAGCATTATCCTTTGAGCTAACTTGTTGAGCACCTACTGCATGCCAGGTGTTGTGCGTTGTGTGTTACATTTCTTATCTTGGAATCTTCCCCATATCCCTCTGAGGTCAGTATTCTTAACCATGGCTGGGGGCTGCACAGGCCCCCTCCCTGTCCCAGTCACATGCAGGGCTCACTCACAGTTATAGGAGGACGGGGAACCTCGGGGGTGGCCGTAGTCCTCACCGTGACGGCGGCTGAAGCCTAGCTGCCCGCTGCCGATGCTCATGCCCTCCAGCGCCATGCGTTCCTTTGTCTTGAGGGCATGGGTTCGCTCCTGCCGCAGGCGCTCCTCGTCCTTGAGGAGGGTCATCACCTGTTTGACCTTCTCTCGCACATTGACACCCTGATCCTTGCCATCACGGTCAATATACTGGAAGTCCTTGAGCGTCTGGATGGTGTACAGGTTCTCTCGGCACTGGTGGGCCACCCGCTCAGAGCCTGTCTTGAGCAGGTAGTCCAGCAGTGTCAGCGCCTTGTACACGTGCCGCCAGTTCTTGCCACTGTCGTTGAGCCTCCGCCACAGCATGCCCATGACCTCGGCAAAGGCCACCGTGTTGAAGGTCAGGTCAGCGATTTCTGACATGAGAGAGCTGGGCGGGCCCCAGGGGTCATTGCTAGTGGCCTCGCGCACCTTGACCTCTGCCTCGGAGTAGTTGTGCACGATGTTCTTCACCTGGCGCCGGAGTGCGGAGGTCGTCATTGCTGGGGACTTGGAGGTGGGCAGCCCCCGACCCCGCCGGAGGTGGAGGGCTGAGGGCCACCGTCTCGAGGTCACGGTCTTGAAGGATGGGCCGCCGTGCTCTCAGCAGGGTGGCTGCGTCCTTGGGTTCCACATGGGGCTGAAGAAGAAAGATCTGAAATTCAGGGACAGTGGCCATCAACTCTGGTCACTCAGTCACTGATCAACTAAATAAGTCTTGGCCAGAGTATCCTTGCTGCCAAGAACAGTCTTCAGTGGGAACTCCTTTTTTTTAATTTAACTGATCCAGCAGGCAAGTCTAATTTTGCACACTCATCTGTCTTTGCAATCATACTACAAGGATGCTGTTACCCCCCCCCCCTTACAGATAGGGAAAAGAAGGCTCAGAGAAGTATTAATGGACTTGTCTAAGATCACAGAGCTGATGGGGGGGGCAGGATGTCCCCACCAGAGAGTGTACAGCCCAGGGAGATTCTGACAGGGTCCAAGAATGCCCACTGGCCTTGCTCCTGCTCAGCTGCCTCCTCCATTTCTGCCAGGATCTAGCTTAAGACCTATCCTTTTCAGCGTCTCAGTTCTCTTTCCTCTTCTCTCTTATTTTTATCTTTTGAAGTTTGATTCACTCAACACCTATTTCATGGAGGCCTTTTTGGAACCAGGCACTATGCCAGGCACAGAACACATGTCTTGGTTCACCCAAGTTCAGCTGAAAGGGTCCAGAAAGTCACAGTCTGGTGTAGAACTGAGGAGGAACACAGGGAGACCCAAGCAGGGGAGATCATGGGAGACTTCCTAGAGGAGGTAGTGGCTGAGCTGAGATATGAGACCTGAAAGGGTGAGGAGTGAACCAGCAAGGTGAGGAAGGGCAGCTCAGAGGGAATGTGGGGAGCTGGGCTGGACGCCTGAGAGGAACGAGCATTGGGGGAAGCTGCCTCACAGAGATCTGGCCGCTACCACCCCTGCCACCCCCAAGTACGCGTGAGAGCACTCAGGCCAGAGAGGGGATGTGACCTGCCCACATCATATGGAGTGTAGGTGGCAGAGCTGGGACTGACACCTAAGTCTCCAGAAGACTAATCCATTACTTACTGCTGTGTCACCTGATTGAGTAATTAATAATTCATCTGATTGTTTTTCTGTCTTAGCCCACCTTCTCACCCAGAGTAGAAGCTCCTTGAGGTCAAGGGCAGCCTGGGCCCTCCAAACCCCCAAGGCCCTGTGCAGATGATAGCCTCCTGATATCCCAGCAGAGGGAGGGTCAGGACCAGCCCACTTCCCTCCCCATAGCCCTTGGTCCTCAGGCTTCCTGCTGAAAGCTGATGTAGGCCCATAACAGAGGAAAGTCCTCCCAAGGCCCTACCGGCAATGAAAAGTGGAATTCCTTGGCTGCTGCCATTGCCTGGCTGCTCCGGCATGCTTGTGAGTGCCCGCGCACGCACACACACACACACACACACACACTCTCTCTCTCTCTCTTACACACACACTGGCCTACAGAGCTCCCACTCACCTATGAACCTGCACCCACCTCAAATGCCCATAGAGATGGTACCTCTCAGTTCCACCCTGCATCTCATCCTGGCTGTGTCCCAGCTAGTCCTGGGCTGCCAGAGGGCAGGAGTTAGGAGGCTGTCCTGCTCCCCCGCCTGCCCGCTCCTGGGACAGCCCAATTCCTTCCTGATTCCACGTTCCTTCCACCCCAACCCTGCCAATGCTGGGCTCAGTTCAAAGCAGCCCCACAGATCTTGGCAGGTTTCACCAGGGCCCAGGTGCCTGGGAGAGCCTGGGCTCAGAGGATGGGGTCCCGTGGGAGCCAGTGAGGAGAGCGCTTGCCAGAAGTGCTGCCTACCTTCTATCTGCTGTCTGTCTTTTCCTTGTGGGCCTTCTGTGAGGATGCCACAGCCACAACTTGTTTAACCCCAGCCCTGCCCCTTGCTAGTGACTCAGACCTGCCTTCACCTCCCCAAGGGGTGGAGGTGGTGGAGTCAAGATGGGAAATAATGTGCTCCAAAGCCCGCCCCAGTGTACACCCCTCCCTGCTGGCCTCTGGAACTAGCTGAACCAGTTGGACATAGTGACTCCACCAGAGCCCTACCTGGACCTGGCTGCCCTGGCCCTCCTGCTTGGTCCCAGTGCGGACACCAGCCTTAAAGGAGAGGGCCCTCAGGGTGGGTCTAGTGGCCCTGCCTGGACTTTTAGGAGGCATCTCTGCTGGTCTGCACACCTCTGCAGGAGGTAGGGGGTGGGGGGATGAGGAGGTGCCTTGACCTCCCTCCCCTGGAATTTAAGGAGACTAGGCTGGAGGAAGAGGGGACTGGGTGAGGCTGCTGGAGCATGGAGATGGGGGAGGAGAGGAAGGAACGCAGGAGGGAGCGGCTGGGAGTGCTGCCAGCAGGGTTACAAGCAAAGGGTTTTATCGAGCACAATATGCCCAGAAATAAAAGGGAGTGAAATAGAAACCCAGCAGCTGATAAGGTGGTGGTAGCAGTGGTGGTGGCAGTGGTGGCAGCCTTGGGCAGCTGGTATGGAATTACCGTAGTGACCTTGAGCCAGACCCTGTCAGGTGGCGGGAAGGGCGCTGAGAAGGCAGCAGGACCTGAGAGGCCAGTTCAGAGGTAGGGGGGAGGGAAAATGAGGCGGGAGGGCACAGGGCAGCAGTTCTCTTCTATGTAGAGGGTCCCAAGATAGACTGTGGGAGGGGGCCTGGGACTACTCCTCTCAGGCTCCCTGGGATTGGCTGACCTAGAGAGATTCCCAAAAGTCAGGACCAAAAACAGCAAATGGCTCATCCCCAGAATGGGGTTCAGAGAGGTGGAAGAACCCAGATCTGTCCAATCACAAGTGCGTGAGTTTGTCCAAAGTCTATATGACCCCACACCAGCCCTCACCCCCTCCTGGTCCTCAGCTAAAGCAGGCTGCAGCCCCCCATCAGCTCCAGCTTGGACAGTGCCATTTCTGATCCCTCCCTTCCCCCAGCCCTTCTTGATGCTGGAGGGACGGAGGAGTGAGCTCCAGCTCTAAGCTTCTGTCAACTTCATCAGCCCTGAGGCGGCTGAGTCTTGGGGCCATGAAAGTGGGGTCAGGGCTACCCTGGGCTAGAGATGCATTGGGTTGAGGAAGAGAGAATAGCAGAGATGAGCAGAAGTTTGTGGGGAATGCCACCAAAGATGCCAAGTCCCAGGAAGGGGTGGGGAGCTGGGCCCTGAATTCCCTGCTGGGGACTGCAGGGCGGGAGGGGCAGCAGGCGAGAGCCTCCAGGTCCTCTGCAGCCCACCTCTCCTCTCCCCTGCCTGCACCTGAGAAAAAGAATAAGCCCCAAGTCCACTCTTTGCCCCTGCCTTCCATGCAGGGCACTGCCAAGAGGGGGAGGGGGAGCCCAGGAGGGAGCTTACCTCCAGCGCAGGCTCCCTTGGCCCCAGCCCTGGCCCCAGTAGCTTCCACCGCCGTGACCCTCCAACCTGTCCTGTGCGGCAGGGGGATGGCACAGCCTCGGAACGTCTCCAGAGCCATCCACCATAGACCCTTGTCCCAGAGACCCACCCACTCCCAGGAGGCGTGGACCCCTCAGAAGGGCAGCGGCAGGGTCCCCGAATGGGTAGCAGCTCTGCCTCTTGCCTTTTGCCTCTGAGACACCGGCACGGCCAGCCAGCGGCAGCCAGCACTCCGGAGGGAAGTTGCTCAGCTGGCCCGGCAGGTCTGCCTCAGCTGTAACAGGACACAGGGAGAAGTGCAGGGCAGGTTAACCCTTTCCTGCTGGCCAGGCAGATGGTGCATTCAGAGGTGGGAGGCCTGCCCAGGAGGTGTATACAGATCTGCAGCCAGTGCTGGCCTGCGCCCCCTGCAGTGAGTTAACCCTTCCCCTGCCTCACTGACAGGAGGGGTGGAGCTCCAGCAGTCCCACCACACTCCAGCCCTCCTTCCCCTGGGCCAGGAGGACATTAAAGAGGAGAGCAGGGCCATTCCCTGAGACTGACGCTTTGGTGGAGCTGCTGCCTTCTGTGGGCTGCTGGAAAACTCAGCACCCTAGGCCGAGCACCCTCTCTGTCTCCAGAGTGTCCTGTGCTCTCCAAACCTCAGGGTCTTTATCAGAAACACCAAATGCTAACCCAGGGGGCTTTGACTCTGTGGCAACTCCCCCAGCCTCTCACCCACACCTTTTCATCCCACTTAAAGACAATAAGCCCACCCACTCACCATTAGGAAAGTTCTTCAAACTCTGGAAGCGAAGCCCAAAATGCTTATGATTGACAGAAGATAGTCACAGTACTGAGTGACCGACAGCACCTCCTTTTCCAAGAACCCTCTCCTTCTGGCTTCATATTCCCCTGAGCCAGGGAGGTAGCATGAAGCAGAGAGGCTTTTTTAAAGACAGATGATTTGACATGAGAAGAGGGAAAGGACAAACTCAACCCCAAACAACAAGGGAGTGGTGAGTGTGGTACTCAGGGACTGGAATGGGGCGCTGGGACTCCAAGTTGAAGTGGGAGCCCCAAGAGAGTCAGGTTTCCTGGGGTCTCGCTCTCCTCCTACCACTTTGTCATATTGCAGAAAGATCTGGCTCCAGGAAGCATGATCCTAAAAGTGTGGGCCAAGAAAGCCGGAAGCAGGGACCACAAGGGATGACATGCTCTGCCTGTCACCCAACTTATTCCTCATCCTGCCACCAACTCGTTCTTCTGATTGTTGTCCCATAGGTTACCTCCCCCGCCATATCTGCCTCTCCTCCTGCTGGAGAGCTCCAGGAGCCAGGAGGGGGGAGGATAAGGAAAGGTGGGACAGGGGAGGACCCGGACCATGAGCTGACCTCACCAAGATACAACATCCAACATTCAAGACACAAAAGCACAATGGAAGTGGTAGAAACCTCAGGGTTCTTTATTGATTTGTTTTTTATCTGGTTTCCCAGAAGGTTGCTTGGGCCCAAGAGTCAGCTACAAAGATGCAAAATCTCCTCAATATCCTTTAGGGGCTGAGCTCATCAGCCAGAACCATCAGCTCTGTCACAAGGGCATCCAGCAGCGCAAAGACCTGGAGGAATGCGATGGAAAACACAGGCAAAGGTTTGCTCTAGGGAAAGCATCTGTACATCAAGGGCACTACAAGAGCATAGCAGGAAAGGGGGAAAACCCCTTAGAGTTTTTGTAGGACTTTGGTTTTTGCAAACAGTTTTATATTTAAACCAGTCTGGGAGGTGATCTTATCCTGGCACCCAGGACATATGGAGGCAATAGAGCCTAGTGAGATTAAAGGGGCAATTCCAGGGAGCCTGGGGGCCCAGAGAACAGTGTCCATGTAGCCCATGGAGTGGGTCTGGGTTCAATTTGCTCCCAACTTTCCTTCCTCCAAGACTGAGTCTTCCAAGGGGCTGGACCACAGATGCCTAGTCAAATGGATTCTTAATCTCAAGGAGCCACAGAAGAGTCTACCCCCCTGGGTCCTCAGAGCACTTTAATTACTCTCTAGACCCCATCGATCGTTAGAAATCTCAGTGATGTCACCATCAGCAAATGGAACTTCTGAACAAATGGGATCTGGAATATGACCACGATGCACAATGCAATCCCAGCTCCCCAGCTGCCCACATCACAGGGAGACAAGCATTGCCATCAGACACACTGACATACCATGGCTTTATAAACCTCCCCTCCAAACAACAACGGTAACAAAAACAAAAAGTCTAGGTGAATCTCTAAGGACCTGCTGCTTAAAAACTGCTCAGGATGCAAGTCTCTCCAGGGTTTTAAAGCCCTTACAATTGATGGAAATGCACCCTACAGGGTGCTCCCCAGAGGAATGAGGGATGGGGAACATGGCTGCCAGGATGCACCTAACACAGGGAGGAAGCGGAAGCTGCTAGAAGAGAAGGGCTTCCTTCCTCTCTCTTCCCCTGGAGTCTATTCTCCAAATGGCAGCTAGAGCCATTTTCCAAAACACCTAAGTCAGACCATATCACTTTTTTATTCAAAATCCTGTGTGACTTCTCATTACACTCAGAAAAAATCCTGAGTCCTCACAATGGCCTAGCAAAGCCTCACAATGGCCTAGCAAAGCCTCACAATGGCCTGGCAAAGAACTCTCTCCTGTGATCTGTGTCCCCACTGCTAGTGCGCTTCTTATTCCTGGGGCTGCCTTGCACTCTAGAATACCCTTCCTGAGGCAGCTTTGCTTCCATCATGAATGGAGTGGGCCCTTCTTGTTCATGGAAGAAACAGAATAAATGGGGTAGGTGGGAGCTTCCCTTCACCTCAATGTGCAGCCTCTGGGTGTACTTGCTCATGACCAGCGGGTCAATGGGCTCCTGAGAAGGTATGGTGGTGTCGGAGACAGGATCCTCTGTGTAAAGCCTGTCCCGACTTACAGTTTTCACTACTTTCTTGTCATCCTTTGCTTTGTGCTTCTTGCTGTTCAGACGTTCCTGCCAGAGGAGGTGGAGACCCGAGGCCTTCAGTACCTCCCAGGGTAGGTCTAGGCCTTTCTCAGAAGTGGCTGGAGCAAGTGCCTGAGTACCCACTTGCTGCAGCCTCCCATGCCCTCCCCAGCCCCACCCAGCACCCAGTGTGCCTCTTTTCCGAGCAACTTGGATTTTTTGTCCTCTTTGTCTCTGATTCCCAGTTGCTTCTTTTCCTGGGCTGCTGCTTTCCGCTCCTCCTTCCCAACTCTCCCAACAGGCCCTTTCACTTCTGTGATGGGAGAAGATTTTTGATCTAAGGGAAGTGAGTGGAGAACAACGTGTCAGATACCTGTGGCCTAGCTGTGGGGCTCAACCAGCAGTGATCAAAGGTAATGTACCTGATGCCACCAGCATGTGACAAGGTTTGAGACAAGATGAGGAAAGAAAGGGGAATTTTTTTTAGAACTACATTTGCTTTTTTTGAGAACTTCCCTAGGCCCCTCCAGGCACATGACATTGTGGAAGAGGACTGGGGGTAGGGTGGGGTAAGGTGGGGCCCTTTCCCAGTTCAACTGCTCCCCCACATATGGCTATGGACAAGTCATTTAACTCTCTGGGACTACTGAACTAAGGTGGTCACTGAGGTAGCTTCTGGGTCCCAAACTGGCAGCAGGGCTCCCACCAGAGGGGAACGGAATCCCAGGTGTGGCTCCTCCATTCTGACCTCGCTCTTCGTGCACATCCAAGTAGATAGTCTCCTTCTCAGGCAGGCCCAGCAGAGTCCTTAGCCACAAGGAATGGCTCACCAGGCTGTCAATCACTTCTCGCCACAACTGCAAACTAGAGGGCAAGATAAATTGGAGAAAAGCCATCACTCCTCATTTGTCCTTGAACCTGTGCAGATTTGGGTCCCTCCCTTGAAAGGATCCTGGTACCAGGAACTGCCATGGAAATCCATGCCTGCCCTATAAGTGCTTGGATAGGGTTCCAGCTTCCTTTGGGTGGTGACCAACAGAAAAGAGTCCAGGATTAGAGTTAGGAGGCCTCCATGATTTTAGTCCTAACTTTAGAGCCTGAACTCCAGCTTGAAGCCATGGCTAGACTTAGGTCTAGCCCCCCTGGAGGGGATGAATTGAACCTTGCACAAGATTTCAGCATGAGGCTGTCCTGAGGACCTCGTAAAAGCCCCCAGGTCTATCCAAGCAAGTTTAAACAGGCAATGGGAAGGCTGCTAACAGAGAAGTGAGGCTTTTCATGGAATCTACCCTTCTTCTCAGTGCCCTCTGGTGTCTCCTTTTTTCATTCCTCTCCTCATTGAAAAGGAACAGGAGAAAGAAGAGAAAGAAACAAAGATGCGGTGTTTGCCCTCCTCTGACTGTTCCCTGGAGAGCAGCAGGCACTGCAGGGCCCCAGGGCATGGAGTTTGCAGCATCTTTGAGTAACCTGAGCTCCAGACCCCTGGAGTCCTGGGACTGCCTGCCCAGGAGCCCTGGCTAGATGTCACAAAGCAAGGAAGTGGGGCAGCTCCTCTGGCAGGGCCCTTACCACATCTGGTGCAGGAGGTCAGACTGCAATGGCCTCTGCTCCTGGCAGAGCTCCAGGGCTGCTTTGTTGAGTGTGATTAGTGCGTCCTCCTTCTGGGGGTCCTCAGGGAGCACTATCACGGCCTGGCAGGATCACAGGCACCATGGGCAACTGCCCTGCCCAGGGACACCAAGGGTACTGCATGGTGCCATGGGGCAGGTGGCAGAAGACCAGGAACCAGGAGGGGATGCGGCCATGGAGCACTGTTTGGGGTGCCTTCTATGGGAGCCTAGGGTCTCCCTCAGAAACCGTACCCAAGGACCCTTCTCCAAGGTTTGCCAGAGTCAGAAAGGGAGCCCCTCCTTCCTGGTAGTGGCGTGGGGACCCTAGACAAAAAGTGATGACCCAAGAGGGCAATCTCTCTGACTCTCTGTGCCAGGACCAGTCCCCACCAAACCCTTCCAGGGGCTCCAGAGCACCTTCCTGAAGTCCTCCAGGCAGAGGTTCCACTCGGGCACGGGAAGGCTACTGTCTCCGGCACTCTTGGCACCCTCTACATCTGGGCTTTCCTCCACCAGAATCTCTTCCATGATACTCTTCCACTGAGGACTCTTGGTCCCCACGCCAGTCTTCTCGTTTTCCTGCCGGGCCGGTTGAGGTTCCATACTTGGACTCCGAAAGCGTGGTGACGGTTCACTCCTCTCCATGTAGGGTGACTGGGCCATGGGTGTCCGGGACCTGAGGCTGAGGCGCTCTTCCTTGCTTGGTATGACCTCCTCGGCCTTGGGGGGCGCGACCACATACTGGTGCCACAGTCTGTGTAGATTCTGCACCACCTGGTGCTGGTAATGCAGCTGCAGCAGAGGCGAGGGAAGACACGTGAGGGGGGCCTGGGCTGCAGGCCACCGGCTCTGGTATCCCCCCCTCCCTGTTTCCTCCAGAGTGCTGACAGGGGAGGCAGGAAGGAAGCCAGTAGGAAGGGGTGTGGCCAGAGGGGTCCCCATGTCCTCTTTAACCCAAGCATCTCCAAGTGAAGGCTTTCTTTGCATTTGGGCTTCTAAGTAAGATTAGGATTGAATGCAGGAGTTTGTAAAGCTCAATTCCCACCAAGCATTCACTGATTAGCTGCTATCTTGGGCAAATTACTTAACCTCTCTTGGCCTCAGTTTTCTCACTGTAAAATGGTGAGCAATCCCCATCTCACAGGACTGCTATGAGGGGGAAGTAAGTTACTTTTGAAGATGCTCAGAGCAGGTCCCGGTGCACAAAGGATTTGCTATTACTGTCACCCTGGGCACCCACAGGGGGCAGAGGGCTGGTGCTGGCCTGTACCCCAGGATTCCTGTGCTGGAACAAGTCCTCTTCCGTGAGATAGGCATCTGCAGGCGACGGCACGCGCTCTGGGGTTGAGACCCCCTTCAGTAGCTCCTGCAGCACGCTCTGCACAATGGTGACTGCCTCACGGGCAGCCAGTTTGCTCTGAGAAAGGAAAGGTGGCACAAGCTGGCAGCTCAGGCTCTCAAAATGAAAGCCTTGCTGAGAGGAGCCAGAGTCCATGGGGCTTTGTGCCTCCTGGGGTCTCAGTTTCTGCCAATGTCTCTCTCTCTCTCTCTCAACACACACACACACACACACACACACACACGAGCACACACACTTTTTCCAAGACTCAAAAACCTGCAGGTTTCTCCAAACCTCTTTGTTCCCTAAAAGAGGAAGAAAAGGATCCAGAGGAAGGCCAGTCCCAGGAGAGAACTGCTCCTGTATGGGAGCTGGCAGTCACACAATTAGCGTGTCCTCCAGGTTAGGAAGAAGGGTCAGGACGCACAGTTTGGGCATTCCTGAGACTGGTGGTTAACTTCCATCTGCCTTGGCCACAAGGTCAGTGTCACAGAAACCCAGGAAAGGGGCACCTCCTTCAAGACATTGGTCTTACAGTCAGTGAGTAAAGCAAACGTGACATTTGTCAACAAGCATTACCTTTGATCACTGCTGGTTGAGCCCCAATGGAAGTAGCTGGCCTGTGTTTGGGAGCTGTAGTGAATAAAATGGCACAGCTTTCCACAGAATCCCAGGAGGCACAGCACGAGATGGCCACAGTGGGACTGACAGGGACAGCAGGTCGGTCTGGCCCCCTTGCCCTCACTCGAGGGCCAAGGCTCACTGAGTGAGTGGGTGGGCAGACTTGTCCCTGCCGTTTAAATAGTTCTCTCTGGTTTTGGAGTCTTGTCAGTTATGTGCAACTCCACTGTGTAGTACCAGCAGCAAGCGAGTGAAATAGCCCCGGTGCCAAGGGCCATGCATCGTTTGTACTTCACACAGGTGGTGTCTTAAGGCTCAGTCTTAATTCTTTTTAACTCAGAGAGGGCCATGGCTGTAAGCCTGCCAGCTGCCCCTCCCCCAGCCTGGCCACCCATCTTTTACATCACAAAGCCCTGGGTAGTATTTGTTGAGCAAGAATTGTTGGCTATTTGTAAAAAAATTCAATTTACCTCTTAGGCTGGGAGAAATTAGATCCCTCTAGGCACTGCCAGAAAGAATACCAAGGTAACCTATCTGGTGTCCATAGGGGCCAAGTTCCTAGGTCCCTTACCTCCAGTGACTTTCTCTCATCCCTAAAAATGTCCTGGGCCAGGGAAACTGAGTGGAGATTGACCTGCAGGAGTGCGCCTCCTAAGAGGATGGGATGAGTTCCAAACTCCCATGACTCCCTGAAGATCCCAGCAGTCAAAGACTTGAAGAAGAAGGTAAAATTTTTGGTTTCTCCGGGCAGAATCACGCCTGAGACAGACAGAGACAGAAGTTTTCAACAAGTAGGAGCTAGCTGAGCCCCAGGCATGTGTAAAGCTCACTGAGCTCCAGGTTAGGTGGACCAGCATCCCAGATTGCCAGGATTGAGCGGTTTCCTGGGATGTGGGACTTGGAGTGCTAAAACTGGGAAAGTCGCAGACAAACGTGGACAGTTGGTCATCCTAGCCCCAGGCCTGTGGATATAGGTTTCTGCTGCCTGGTGGGTCACTGCCCTGTGTTCCTAAGAGCACCATCATTCTCTCAATAGACACGAATAGTTAGGTCACACACTTCAAAAGAAATGAGAGGGATGAGGCAGGGGAGAGGGGAATCAGACTTTCAGGAGCTGACCAGTAAAACTAAGCTTAGGCATTTCACAGACTCGAGGTCAAAATCAGCCCCAGACAGGAAAGGCAGATGAGAGCAGCTTCTCCCAAATACCTTCTCGATTGTTAAAGTAAAACCGCTGCATCTTATTTCTCTTCAGGTCATGGAAAGTGTCTGGCAGGTCCCTCCGTCGCCAGTCATACCAAATGGCCACTGTGCCATTGTTAACCACGGTCAGATCTGAAGATGTTTTCTCTCCTTCTACAGTTTCAAAAGTCAAGCGAACAGCAATTCCAACATGCCTCTAAGGGAGGAGGAGGAATGAGAAAAGTCTGTTGGAGACACCTGACCCAGGGTGACCAACTCATCCCAGTTTGCCCAGGACTTTTCTGAGGTTAGCAGTGAAAGTCCAGAGTCCCAGCTCTAGGGCTTGGCCACTCTCAAACAGAGTAGTAGGCTCAGTGCCTGTGGCTCAAGTGGCTAAGGCGGCAGCCACATACACCTAAGGTAGTGGGTTCGAATCCAGCCTGGGCCCACCAAATAACAATGATGGCTGCAACCAAAAAAAAATAGCCAGGCGTTGTGGCGGGTGCCTGTGGTCCCAGCTACTTAGGAGGTGGAGGCAGGAGACTCGCTTGAGCCCAGGAGTTGGAGGTTGCTGTGAGTTGTGATGCTATGGCACTCTACCCAGGGGGACAGCTTGAGGCTCTGTCTCAAAACAACAACAACAAAAAAAAACAAAAAACCCAGAGAAGTAATATACTCCAATAGTGGCTGTGTCTGAGGTTACCATCAATAGTAAGAAGAAAAAACATAATTTATACCCAATGAATGTGTCTGCTCCTTAGCATCTGAAGGATATTTTAGAACCTTCTTAGAGTCATACCTGTTCGAGAGGGCTTGCTTATTTACATGCTTGAGGGGTAGGGACAAACGAGGTGGCTTGTGACACTCTCGTTTGAGCCTTGTGATTTTTATTCATTCTCAAGTTAGTGTTGCTGTTACCATTTTCAGACATGCAGAAAGCATGACCAGGAAAAACGCAAAGCGGAGACTGTGCAGGCTCCTCGTGACTGCCACAGTCACCTTGGGGCTGCACCACGAGGGAGCCTTCCAGCAGGCAAGTGAGGGTGGAAGCAGTGTTACCTTATCCTCTGGGTTACTGCCTCTGATCCAGCAAGCTGGCTTCCCACAGAACAGCAGAGAAGGGCCAAGAATAGGCATGGAAGCCAAATTGGGGCAACTGGCCAATAAGTCTCTGGAAGATAAAGCAATGACTTAATTTCCTTGAGGCTGTCACAGTCATGCCACGTGGAACACATGGAAATGGTGGCCTGGAAGTCTAGAAACACGACCAGCTCTGCCCTGCAGTGCAATATAATCAGCTCCACTCCCACTCAGCTTCTTCCTAATCCATTCCTCTAGGAGGGAGGTTCTTGGAAACAGACTCTTAAGCCCTCCTGCCAGAGCTGTTCAGGTGCACAGAAATACACAGGCTCTCCAAGCCAGAGCCATTCCCCAGGCACAGCAGTGGGAGGGGCTGCAGGGGCCCCAGCCAATCAGCAAAGGAATGGCTTGGAAATCCCCATTACAAGTTGGTTGTTAGAAAGGAGCAGATGGAGGTGGAAAAGCTAGCCCAGGTGCTAGAATGGCTAGAGGAGGGGCTGTCAGCCACTAGAGAGAAGCTGGGGTGGAGGCACCCTGATTTCAGGGAGGGAAGCCTGCCCTTTAGCGCTGTGGATGCTGGAGGACACTTCAACCTTTCTTCCTAGGGTGCAGGCTCCACTCACAAGCACATGTCTTCAGAGGAGCTTTTCTGGCTCCTTTCCAACACTGAAAAGTCTTCCACTGTAATAGCTGAGAAGGGCTGTCCTCTGCCCACCACCTCCAGGCCATCAATGTCCTCAAAGAGAGCAAGAAAGGAAAAATGAGCTGGCTGAAGACAAGTATTGCCACGAGGGGCTTGGGACTGGGGCCTGGAGGCATCACCAACCTGCTGGTTAAAATCTAGCTCTGCCATGATGCTCCGCAGCTCCTTGCGGCGGTAGATCAGAAATAGACTCCGATCCCAGGTGTAGCGGTACCAGGGATCCTTCTCGGCTGGTAATCCTAGAGCGTGGTGCAAGGACCCTCAGTACAGGCTGTTGCCATGCCCCCTTCCCCACCCACTTCTCAAGGGCTCTGAGAGCACCAAAGGAGAACCATTGCTGAGAAGGATAACAAATACAGCGTCCCTTTCTCCAGAGAGGAGCAACAACAAAAAAGGAGGGGAAAGGAGGGGAAGGAAGGGGGAGGGGAGGGGAAGGGAAAAGGAAGGGGAGGAGAAGAAGAGGAGAAAAATATAGCTCCCCTGTGGCAGCTGGACTCTAGTTCTCCTGCCCTATCGCTCTTCTACAGTCTTATACAAGACTTCTGCAAAATGAGCTTACAAGCAGTCAAATCTTTATTTATTTATTTTTTTGAGACAGAGTCTCACATGGTCACCCTCGGTAGAGTGCTGGGGCATCATAGCTCACAGCAACCTCAAACTCCTGGGCTCAAGTGATTCTCTTGTCTCAGTTTTTCTATTTTTAGAAGAGACAAAGTCTTGCTGTTGCTCAGGCTGATCTCAAACTTGCGAGCTCAAGCAATGCACCCACCTCAGCCTTCTATAGTGTTAAGATTACAGGCACCAGCCACCATGCCCGGCCCAAATCTGTAGATTATAGTAAAAATAACAGCAGCTACCTTTTACTGAGTGGTCCAGAACTCCTTAATATATTTTCTGTCTCATTTAACCTTCTCACAATCCTATGAGTATTTTAGAGATGAGGAAACTAAGGGCCTGAGGGGTTCACAAACCTAGCACAGCTGGGACCTGAACCCAGGTGGTTTGGCAGGCTCTAAACCAGTACTGCCCAACAGAAATATACTTTAAATCACCAATATGACCACCTTGAAAAAGGTAAAAAGAAATAGGTGGGGTTCATTTAAGTAGTATAGTTTATTTAACCCAATATATCAAAAGTATTATCATTTCTACATGTAAACAATATATAAATTATTAATAAAATAGGTTTTTTCATACTGATCTTTGAAACTTAGTATGTTGTTGACACCGACAGCACATCTCCACCCAGACCAGCCAAATCCCAAGTGCTCAAAGGTTCCACACCAGACAGCACAGCTCAACTGCCCATCATCCAACTTTCTTACCATTTCTTTTTTTTTTTTTTTTGCTGTTTTTGGCCAGGGCTGGGTTCGAACCTGCCACCTCCAGCATATGGGGCCGGTGCCCTACTCCTTTGAGCCACAGGCGCCACCCTTTCTTACCATTTCTCCAACCATTTTACCGATCAGGGACCTTGACCTCAGGAAGGTTCTGAGACTTGCCTAAGTTCACCCTGGACAAGGATTGGGTTCCACTGTGTCTCACAACAGAGCCCTGCTGGTCACCCCCACACGGCCTCACCCCCTAGGCCAGGCACAAGGTAACCAGCTGGTTTGCAGCTCTGTGCCTCACCTGTCTCCAACTGAATGAAGTGGGGCTTCCTGATGCGAGTGATTGGTTCTAAGAGGCCACGCTGAGATTTCGTCTTGGTTATGACCAGACCTGTCATCTCATCTCCCAAGTATTCCACTCGACTCCAGAACCCACTGGTCTCCCAGCCCTGTCAAGGAAGGACAGGTGAGTCAGAGACCTGGATCCCTCGGCCAGATGCCAGGGCACATGGGAAGACAGGAACGCCACAGTTCCCGATGCTCCCTCTGGTCCCTGATAGCAGAGAAAAAGCCCTCAGTTTCTTGTTTTCTGGATGCCCCATTGTATCCTTTACTTGCCCCTGGAAGAACAGTGTGACTTGGGACAGGTCCTGCATTGACATACCAGAGAACATGGTATCGTGGGTAGTCCAAAAGGTGGAGTTTATGCTTCCAGGAGATAAACACTAAAACTATTCTACTAACTCAATACCTGTGATATCCTTTTCCTCAGACTAACTGCCAGGGCCACCACAGGCTGAACTACTTAACTGGCTTCATACCCAATAATAGGACTAATCATATACTTTAGTAAAAGGCCTCAAAGGTTTACCAAGGCTTGCTGATAGATGGATTTATTTTTCTCCCCAATCGTGCAACTTGAGATAAGCCATCCCACTGTCCAGACCCCGCCACCTCCCAGTGCACTTGCTAATGGCTGTCCTCACTTTCTTGTCACGCTGTGCTGGGATTACACGGTCAATGAACTCCCGCTCCTCCTGGATCCGTCTGTAGGTCTCCCCACTGTGCATCAGCAGCTGGCTGACCGGCTTCTTCAGGTGCTCTAGGGGAGAGGCAAGGGCGCTGCCACTCCACTGAACCAGAGCCAACAGGGACCCTGGGACTCTGGATCGGGCAGCCCCACTTACAGGGCTGATTTCAGGACCCACCAACGCTCAAGAGCCGGAAGCTCTCGGGAGTGAGAGGCATAAATGTGTTCAGCCCAAGTCCTGGCTCTGGACAAGGGAGGGGAAAGAACAAGACACAGCCGAGCCAGGACATGGGTGGGCCAGGCCGGAGCCCGTGCGTGCCGCTCACCACTGAGGGCTTCCTGCTGCCTCTTCCGCAGAGCTATGTTACGCTGCCAGTTTTTCAGAAAGTTGTGCTGAGGAGGTGGAGCCCAGGGAAGTCTCTTCTCTTCCTTTGGGGCTTTGTGCCCTGGCTCTTCTTTAGTCCAGAGGAGGGCCAATGGACAGGTCTGGGCAGGAATCAGCTTGGCCAGCTGAAAAGTCCAACGTGGGCATGTGTGCGGTGGTGAGGAGGCTCTGAACAAGGCTGAACAGATTTACAGAAGCCTGAACCCCTGCCGTTGTCCCACTGCACTGAGAATCCCTCCCCTTCAGTATCTTGGGGTGACAGAAAACAAATCACAGAACCAGGGGGCTGTGAAAACAGCTCCCTCTTGCCCAGAGAGTGAACTTTTGTTCTAAGATTGTGCTCACCATCTTTTAGTATGTCTGTCCTCATGACTGATGTCAATCGACACCTTCATCCAGGGTGACTGAGCTTTTTTTTTTTTTTTTGAGACCAGCCTCCCCAGTAGCTAAGAATACAGACATGTGCCACCAGGCCTCGCTAATTTTTAAATTGTTTTATAGAGATAGGGTCTTGTTATGATGCCCAAACTGGTCTTGAACTCCCAGCTTCAAGCAATCTTTCAGCCTCAGCCTCCAGAAGTGCTGGGATTACAACAGGCGTGAGCCACTGTGCCCAGCCTGACTGAGCCATTTTACATGAGCCCAGGCCCCTTGGCACCAGACCTGTTAGAGTCTGTCCAAGGGCGGGGAAGTGAGGGATTGAAGGGAAACATTGCATGATGGGGAGGCTGAGGAGACAAACAGATTCTTCATGTGGCCCAGAGAACAATGGAGAGCCATCTTCCTCCACGATGTGCACTGGGGAGGGCAGGCCAGTCTCAGAGAAGGGAAAATGAAGCCAGTGCACAGAGTGGCAGAGAGGAATGAGGAGTGGGGGTGAGTCCTGACGCCTTCCCAGATGCAGGCTACCCAGACCTAGGCCTTTGGGTTCCATGAGCAACTTCTGTATCCTTATAGTAAACCCCTGATTTTAGCCAAGCTTCAGGTTGGTTTCTATGACTTATAATGGACGTGTGTAACCATTTCAGAGGAGGGTCGCTTATCATTGTAGACTGAAAGTTCAGAGACTGGATTGTCTCTTTAGGCCTAGCCCTGCTTGACTCTACCAGGTGGGAGACTAAAATGACTTCAGGGACTTCTCTCATCCAAACAGACCTGGGTGTTCCCTCGAGCAACTGCAATTCTCTTAAAGTCCTGAAGCGTCCCCAAGATGTGGTGGGGCAGGATCTGGTCACTGCCTTCAAAGCTGTCACCTGGACCTGCTGGGGGGCGGGGAGAGAAGGAAGGAGAAAGACAAGATGTAGATAGTTGATGTACATTATTCAAGTGAGAGACCCAGCTTTCTCTGAGGCTGACCCACGAGTCCAAACACCAGCAACGCCAGGGCCGAGACAGGGCGTACCAGAGTAGTCCAGAGGCTTTGTGGCGGCATCTGGATTAGCAGGATGTGCTACTAAGTGGCAGACCTTCCTCCTCGGATCCCTGGGTTTGAGTTTGCGGATGATATATTTCTGGGTAATGACAGGTTTATCTTCGGTTTTAGCGAGACGGAGAATGTGTTGCTAAAAAGAAACAAAACAGAGAATTCCACCTGAGGTATGGAGGAGGAAGAACACCACCCATCTCCTCTGTCCTAGTTCTTGGTGGAATTCCTGAAGGGTGACACATCTGTTTCTTCAGCTCTGTCTATATTTCTGTCGAGGAAATGCCGCTGTAACAGACACGTGACTTAGTAATGTCCTGGAGGGGAAAAAAAATAACATCTTATGCTTCCAGATGGCTCAGATAAGAAGTGGCTTACTCTTCCAGGTAAAGTACAGGGCTAGGGTGGAGCAGCTTGATCCACATCTGCTGCTTAAACTCATTTTCCTCTCCGGGAAAGAGGGACCAGGCCCCTGCTCGGTGGGGACCATGGCACCTGCCTGTTGTGGGAAGCAAGAAACCTCATCATCTCATTTCCCTTTTGGTGCTATATGCATCTCAGGAATGTTAAAACAAACAATGTAGTAAATTCCTTTAGAGGCTAACAGGAAAAAAAAATGGCATTCGGTGGATTTTTCCATGGAATTGGACATTCCCTAGGGGTAGAGAGCTCACGGAGTGACAGTGGACATGGCGGATGTTCTAGACCACACAGGCTGGCAGGGAAGTTTCTGCTCAAAGAGGACCCTGGCCTTCACCCTTACCTTTGTCAAGTCTTCCTTCTTAATGGCTAAGGCAAGAATGTCATCTCCTTGTAGGACATTGCTAACAGGCTCAGGCTCTTCCTGAATGGGGGGTGTGGGCTGTTCTGGTAACTTTGCTCGCCTCTTTTCTGAAGAGAAGCAGAAAGTTATACGTGTTTAAAGAGCTCCTTTTGTATATATAAAAATTAAAAATGTAAGTATATATTAGACTTTATGGTAGGGGGCAGAGTTGGCCGTCTCAGCAGACAGCAGAGACTGGGGCAGTGGGCATCCTCCCTCTCTCTCTTTTTTTTTTGGGGGGGTGGGGAGGGAGAGACAGGGCCTTGCTATGTTGCCCAGGCTGATCATGAAGTCCTCCTGCCTCAGCCTCCCAAGTAACTGGGACTATAGGAATAAGCCACTGCACCCACTTGGGAGTTCTCTCTTGAGAGTCTCGCCTGCTCCCCCTGTTCCTCCACACTGACTGAGAATCTGTAGCCAGAACAGAGAGAAGATGTTCCATTTCAGGCAGTGCTAGTTATAAGCCAGACAACCTTGGGTACAAGGTTGTATAATAAAAAGAGATAGTTGAACTAAATCACTGGATCCCAAATAACAGTACAATGTCTGCCTCAGAATCTTCTGGGAGTTATATAAATAAAGCTTTCTGGCTACTAAATGAAGCCAGGGCCTGGGAGCTGTCGTATTTTTTAGCTTCTTAGGTCTAAAGCACAATGGTTTGAGACAGCTGGACTAGATGCTTTGTTGGCCTCCTTCAGTGCTGGCCCTGATCCATCCTTCTGGGTGAGGGCATAGGGTTTTGTAAGACATTGGTTAAAATGCAGAATCTCTGGGTGAAAGCAGAACATTCACCCCTGACTATGCACTGAACACTATTTCATTTAATAAAGAGCACTGAAGCAGCTTCTTTGGGCCAGGCACTGTGTTCTGGAGAAATATGTCAAGCCTCAGTCTTCCAACACTGCCAAGCTGATTGAGCCAGGCTTACTATGGGAGCATCACTGGGAATGGGGGGGGAGCCTCGACTGGGGGCTGGTCAGGGAGGGCTTCCTGAGGAGGTGATGTTTAAATGGAGCTAGAAGAAGAAGAGGGGTTAGACCAGGGAAAGGGAACTGGGGAACAGGCATTTCAAAGGAAATAGCATAAAGAGGCCTAGAGGCAAGAGAGCACGGAGCACATCCTGGAACTCAAAGCATGTGTTTTTAAATAGCTGGAGTGTGGTGAGGTGGGAGAGAAGAGAGGGAAGTATGAGCCATATCACGAAGAGCTCAGTGAGGCATATAAAGGGCTTCAGTCTCTCTACCCTGTGGCAAGAAATGGATCAGGGCATGCAAGACCTAGGATGAGCTTATTCAGGAGTCTACTGCAGTAATGCAGTGACTGATGATGACAGTGGTTCAGGGGACTGGAGGAAAGTGGAGAGATCTGGTCCTTTGTCCCTTACGGGGCAGCCAGAGCATGGTATTGACAACACATGCTGTACAAGAGGGTTACTCTCCAATGGGGACACACTCCCTGCCTTCATCCATAGAGGTGGCTTCACACTTTCAAAAACATCTCACTTCTCTGGCTGGTCATCACTCATCTTCTCTCTGGTTCAGAATGTTTTAATGTAAGGCCCTACACAGAACAATCAGAAGAAAACCTAAGTGCAGCCTTCAAGAAGTTAAAAACAAAATTTGGTTTCACCCACTGCTTCTCAGCACTCTTTTTGAGACAGAGTCTCATTACGTCACCCTCAGTAGGGTGCTGTGGCGTCACAGCTCATGGCAACCTCAAACTCTCGGGCTCAAGCGATTCTCTTGCCTCAGCCTCCCAAGTACCTGGGACTACAGGTGCCCACCACAATGCCCAGCTATTTTTTTTGTCGCAGTTGTCATTATTGGTTAGCTGGCCTGGGCCAGACTTGAACCCACCAGCCTCAGTGCATATGGTTGGTGCCGTAAACACTGTGCACAGGTCCCGAACCTCTCACAGCATTCTTTAAGAGACAATATCACTGAAAGATCAAGGCAGGTGTTTTGGTTAACACAATCAAACTATGTTTTAGGAAATGTCCATATAAAAAACCACACCAGAGTGACCAAAAAAAAAAAAAATGCACCAGAATCATTCCAAACATAGCTCTAAATTCAACCAATAGGCCACAGCCCATCTCTCCAGCAGAAGGTCAGGAGTATCTGTCTATTAAACACAAGACTCAGTGTACATACCTGTGTGCACATGTGTGCACACACACACATGCAAAGCTAAGAAGCTGAGCCAGCATGTGTGGAGAGGCAGCCTGGGCTTCTGATTTCTACTTCCCTTCTCCTTTCTCCACAAACTCACAAAGTTGGGGGCAGCCCACAAAAAAGTAGTACCAGTTGGGTGGCGCCTGTGGCTCAGTGAGTAGGGCACCACCCCCAAGTACTGAGGGTGACAGGTTCAAACCTGGCCCCGGCCAAACTGCAACAAAAAATAGCCGGGCATTGTGGCGGGCACCTGTGGTCCCAGCTAGTAGGGAGGCTGAGGCAAGAAAATCACCCAAGCCCAAGAGCTGGAGGTTGCTGTGAGCTATGACGACACAGCACTCTACCGAGGGCGACAAAATGAGACCTTGTCTCTAAAAAAAAAAAAAAAAAAGTAGTACTAGTTGAAGGTCTGTTTTTATGAATATTTTGGCATTATTTATATTTTCTGAGGTTGCTGCGAGCTGTGATGAGACAGCTTCCCTGCTAGCCTGTCCTCAAACAGAGGACATTTGTCTCCTTTGTTCATCACACTGGCTGGGTATATACATCTTCTCAAGTGATTCAACACCTCCAGATGTATTTTTTTACTGGTGGGTGTGAATTTACCACATGTAAATAGAAAACTTTAGCATTCCTAAAGATTTCTGAGGGCCAAAGCTCCTATCCCTTCAGCCATAGAGAAGCTAATCTTTCATGCTTGCTTGAGACTGAAATAGGGAAACTCCAGTCTGAGGTTTTTCCAAGAAAGTTACCTTGCATGTAGCATAATAAATGTTCTGTTACTGCAAACATTCCCTGAAGGTCTGTTCTAGTTAATAAAATATTCATTAAAATGATATATACAACTTAAAGTCCAATTCTTCCTAGAGAATAATTTACCAAGCAACTTCTTTGTGCTGCAAACTACAAGAAGACAGTATAAAAGCTGAAGATATGGCTCTTCTTTTGGGGAACTGAAAAATGCAACAGTTATTGACACACCAGTCGCAAGATGCAAGGGCTTACATTAATGGCCCAAGCAATTGGTTTGGTTAGACATCAAAAAAGAGACAGATCAATGTGGATCCCACAGTGCAGGGCTGTGAAGGAAGGTTCAGAAGAACAGGTGCAGAGGTGGCACCGCAGGCTACAGCAGGCCTTGAAGCAGAGGAAGGCTTTGCAGTGGTAGAACAGCAAAGGGAGACGTTCCAGGTGAGGTCACAGTGTTGGCAAAGCTGGAGGCAGGGCTGAGCATGGCATATTTGTGACACGGTGACAGAGAAGGCTTGTTGGGAAGGTGGGGGGATGATGCTGGAGCTGAGAGGGAAACTAGGGCATGGCGGCTCTGTAAGTACAGCCTGGGCATCTTATCTCTGTAAGTACTGCAGGGGAGTGAGATGATGAGAGCCCCCCCTACACTGAGGGTGAGCCAGACAGGGGAGAGGCCCGCTGGGGAGACCTGGGAGGAAGGACCAGCACCCGAGGTCATTTCAGGACCTGTAGGAGGACTCTGCAGGGTTGAGATGTGTTTTGCTATTGAACTTGTAGAAGCCCGGCTCTTTCCTGTTCTTTGCTCTGGAAACCCAGCCTGAGAGGGGTTCCTGCTGAACTGGTGAGCTGACATTTCTTCCTTGATCCTGACAGCTGAGGGGTCAAAGAGACCAGCTCCTTTCCACAGGGCAGTCAGGTGGCACCTCTGCTGGAGTCAGGCCCGGCAACTGGAAACAAGGAGCTCATGAGGGGTGGGGGGAAGGGAGAGGGGACCTATGGAGGGAGAAAAAACCGGGAGTCTGTTTTTCTGCTTCTAAATACTTATCTAAATATTATTCTGTTTTGGTGTTAATTAAAGTTTTGGGAAATCCTGACCTCAGGCTTAAACTGGGGGGAACCAAGCAAGAGGCTGTTCTTAGCAGGGCAGAGCTTTATTTTTATTTATTTTTTCTTTTTTGAGACAGAGTCTCACTCTGTAGCCCTTGGTAGAGTACCATGGCATCACAGCTCACAGCAACCTCAAACTCTTGGGCTTAAGCGATTCTCTTGCCTCAATCTCCCAAGTAGCTGGGACTATAGGTGCCCGCCACAACGCCTGGCTATTTTTTGTTGCAGTTGTCATTGTTGTTTTGCTGGCCTGGGCCAGGTTCGAAGCCAGCCTCAGTGTATGTTGCCAGCACAGTAACCACTGTGTTAGAAGCCCAGGGCAGAGCTTTATTTTCTTTCTTTTTTTTTTTTTCTTTTGTGGAGACAGAGTCTCACTCTATCACCCTGGGTAGAGTGCTGTGGCATCACAGCTTACAGCAAACTCCAACTCCTGGACTTAGGCGATTCTCTTGCCTCAGCCTCCCGAGTAGCTGGGACTACAGGCGCCCACCACGACGCCCGGCTATTTTTTTTGTTGCAGTTTGGCTGGGGCCGGGTTTGAATCCACCACCCTCAGTATACGGGGCCAGTGCCCTACCCACTGAGCCACAGGCACTGCCCCACAGGGCAGAGCTTTAATTGGTGGAGGAGGGAAGCTGACACTGCTGGGAGGCTTCTGGTTTCTTAACAACAAGACCAGGGAGAAACCTGGGACTCAAAAAGGGCTCTCAGGGCTCAGCACCTGTAGCACAGTGGTTATGGCGCCAGCCACATACACTGAGGCTGGCGAGTTTGAACCCAGCCTGGGCCAGCTAAACAATGACATCTGCAGCAAAAAATAGCCAGGCCGTGTGGTAGGCACCTGTAGTCCCAGCTACTTGGGAGGCTGAGGCAAGAGAATTGCTTAAGCCCAAGAGTTTGAGGTTGCTGTGAGCTATGATGCCACAGCACTCTACCTAGGATGACACAGTGAGACTCTGTCTCAAAAAAAAAAGGGTGGGGGCTCTCAGGTCCCTAAACAAGTCTAAGTCGCTATATTTTCTCTCCTTTTTGCTTATGATTCAGAGACCATGGAGAAACACACCACAGGATTACAAGACTACATTTGTTGGTTAGCTGCCTTATATGTGGGGGAGCAGTTTAGCATTGCCTTCCAACTTTGGAGGCTTCCCTAAGACATTTAAGGAAAAAGGTATCTTGCATGCTGAACACTTTTGCCTTCCTTACTCCAGTGCATGTTAACTCAAGGGCTATTTAACAATCTAAAATTTCCCCTTATTAAAAATGCAGTGAAAAATCTTTTCTTGATTTGTTAACCGCAGCAAGTTTAAATCTGATAAGTGTCCCAGAAACTAGGTAAGCAGGAGGCAGGAGCTAGGAAAACCTTTGACTACCCTAGGGAAAGGGGACCAGATACTTTTTTCTCTGTCTCTCCCAACTATTAAAAAGTATATCACAAAACAGCACTGGGATTTCATTTTCATTTCATATATTTAAGAAAGAGGGTCTCACTATGTTGCCCAGGCTGGGGTGCAGTGGCTATTCACAGGTGCAATCACGCTGCACCACAGCCTGGAATCCCTGGGCTCCAGCAATCCTCCCACCTCAGTAGCTGGGGCTACGGGCCTGTGCCACCATACCCGGCTTAATAGCAGACAATTATGCTATGAAGAAGCATAAAAGGCCAGATGGAAAACTAAGCTCTTGTTAACTTTCTGAGCTTCCCAACTGACTTTGGGCCTGTCCCTCTCCTCACACTGGGCTTTAATTCACTGTGAGCCTGGGTCTCCCTAGGGGTTGCAAGGGGAGACTTTCTGACCCCTCCATAGTCTGACCACTGCCCACCCCTGCAGCCTTCTCTGGCTCCCATATTCATAGTTCCATAAACTCATGCTATTCCCTAAACCTGGAGAAGCAATCTCCTCCCTTTTGGGGGTGGGGGGAGGGTCTGCAGTAGATGTCAAAACAAACCTTCAGACAATCTCCCTCCATAACTCTACCGTCCAAGCCCTGTGCCAGGTGCTCTATGACCCCTTAACCTCGATGGGCACCTATATCACAGCATTCTGTGTTGGTCTGGTGACTCCTCTGGGTCTTCACTAAGCTGAATTTCTTGATGTCTGGGGTAACACAGTTAATACCCATAGCCTGTAGCCCCACATACTGTCCACACACTATAGGCTTAGCAAAAAAAAAAAAAAAAAAGACCAGAAAGGAGTTGGGTTGCAAGTAAGAACATGTCCAAGGGTGTCAGACACCCTTCGGCTCTCCCACCTGCAACCAGAGGGTAGGGGTGGAGGCCAGGAAGCAGTCATGTCTAGTGACTCTTTTGGAAAGGGTACGTGGCAGGAAAAGGCAGTCAGGAACAAACAGCTAGGTAAGGGCATTTATTCTGTTTTTTTCCAGCAGACTCTTAAGTGGCACGCCCGCCCCCCCCCATCACCACAAGATCCCCATCCAAGTGGCTGGATTCACCACCTCAACATGTTTCTTGCTTTCTCTCCTGAATTCCTCTTTCCAAGGACCCCAATTCCTGGTCTTTCTAGCCTTAAACTCTTTCTGGCTCTTCTCTGCCCCCCCCCCGCCCCCCCAGTCCTGGGACCCCGCCTCCTGCACGCCAGCCTAAGATGGGGTTAGAGGGCAGAAGTTTCCTATGGCTTCCCGCAAGGTCATCTCCCCAAACCAATGGACCCTGAAGCCTGTCAGTCTCCGCATGCCCATGGTCTAGTGTCCTATGCCCCCTCCCTTTGAGGATCTCCGCCTTGTTCATCATCCCTAAGCTTCCTGCCCAGTACCCTATTTCCCAGTGATCTTCACTCCATCCCTGGTGTCACCTCCATCCTTCAGGCCCTGAACCACACATCCCAAGAACCCTTGTCCCAGTCGGGTTCTCCTGAGCGCTAGGGCAGCCGGCGCCAACCTTTGAAGCTCTCTGCGGCCTCCAACACTCTGCTCGTGTGTAATCGGAGGCGGGATTCCTTCTTTAGGGACCTCATAGCACCGCCCGGGCGGTCAGCGCGACCTGGCGCCGCCGCCCGGCTAGGAGACACCGAGGCTGAGCAGCAGCCCCAGCGACCCCGCGCGCGCCCGCCCGCCCGCCAGCGGCCGCCGCTGCGTCCATAGCAACCAGCGCCCCGCGCGGGGGCGCGCACCCACCGGGCAGCCTGGAGAGAGACGCCTTGGTAGTCAGCTTCTTCATTGGGCCGCATACACGCCAGTCGCAACCCTAACAGCCGGAGCCGGCCCCCACGTCACAGGGCGCCACCGTGACGTCCCTGACGTCCCTGACAGCGGAGGACAGTGACGAGGGCGAGGACCCCCCGGGGCTACGGGATCCGCTGGGAGGTGGGAGCGGCTGCGGGGTAGAGGAGGGACGACCTGCCCTGTCGCGTCCTGTTGCTAGGCGACTGGGGTATCCGTTAGTGTTGCGGGCACCAGCCCCTGCCGCGTCCTCCCTGGCCTTCCTGGACTCTGGCTGGCCGGCTGGCTGACCTCCCCCCCACCCCGCTTTCCCTCCGCCCTCCACACAGACGCCAAAGGGATCCTTCCTTTCAGGCCGAGCTGAAGACCCCCAATAGCTTCCAGTGGATTGCAGATGCCCCTGCACTCCCCTCACCATCCCCGCGCCTGGTGACCTCCAGGGCCGATGCTCTCTGCAGCCACTTTCGTCTTCCACCACTTCCCAAACCAGCAAGTTTTACCCCAGGTTGGGGCCCCCTCGTGTTGCCAGTCTCAGTCCTTGAAGATGCTGCCCCTGACTCCCCAGTATAAGGTAGCTCCTCTCTGTTATCTCAAGTTTTTAAACATGCCCTGTTTATTGTATTTTTCTAGAGCTCTAACTCTAGAAAAAATGTTTACGTAGTTGCCTGTTGTCAGACTTGCTGTCACAATGGAAGCTCGGAGAGCAGGGACTGCCTCATGCTCCCACCGCTCAGTGACAGTACTTCAAATAATGAAGGGGCTCTGTCTTTCCTTGCTTGCTAGCTGCATATTCTTTGGCTAGCATTTAAACTATGCAATGTGGTGTCCTCCATTAACTGTAATGTCTTCTCAGTCAATTCTCAAAATCATACTAGGGTTGGAGGGAGGGGGTAACTCTGTACCCATTTTACAGATGAAGGAATGGGGCTCCAGAGAAGTTAAAAGTCTAAAGTTAGTTGACTAGTGAGAAGCACAACTGAACTTTCCACAGCCACCAGCCTGAGCAAGAGCAAGACTCTATCTCTAAAAATAGCGGGGCTGTGGGGGGGGGAGCCTGTAATCCCAGCTACTCAGGAGGCTTAGGCAAGATAATTGCTTGAGCCCAAGAGTTTGAGGTTGCTGTATGACACCACAGCACTCTACTGAGGGTGACAAAGTGAGACTGTCTCAAAAAACAAACAAACAAAAAAAAAAAGAAGCCCAACTTGAACTTGGTTTTCGCAAGTCCAAGGCTGGGGCTCTCAGGACCCTGACTCCTGGGCCACTTCTGAGCTTTGCCCCAGTTTTCCCCAGACAGAGAAGAATCTAGGGAGAATGCCAGTAGGGCTGGTCAATAACTGAGTTCCTTCTGTGTTCCTACTGCTTGAGCCCCTCCTCAGGGCCCCTTTTCCCTGCCCCTCTAAACCACACTCCTCTTAGGACTGAGATATCCTCCATTGGCAGCCCCTTCTCTTCTGCTGTCTGAGGCCCAGGCACCATACTTCCTACCCTCCAGAGAGTCCCCAGTTCAGTTCACTACATGAACTTTTTTTTTTTTTTGAGGCAGAGTCTCACTCTGTCACTCTGGGTAGTGTGGCATCATAGCTCATAGCAACCTCAAACTCTTCAGCTCAAGCGATCCTCTTGCTTCAGCTTTCCAAGTAGCTGAGACTATAGGTGCACAATACCATGCCCAGCTAGTATTTCTATTTTTAGTAGAAACCGGGTCTCACTCTTGCCCAGGCTGGTCTCAAACTCCTGAGCTCAACCAATCCACCTGCCTCAGCCTCCCTGTGTGCTAGGATTACAAGTGTGAGCCACACCCCTCCCTTTTTTTTTTTTTTTTTAGACAGAGTCTTACTCTGTTGCCCTGGCAAGAGTGTTATGGTGTCAGCCTACCTCACAATAACCTTAAATTCCTGGATTCAAGCATTCTTCCTGCCTAAGCCTCCTGAGTAGCTAGGACTAGGTGCATGCCACCATGCCTGGCTAATTTTTTCTATTTTTATTAGAGACAGGGTCTCACTCATGCTCAAGCTGGTCTTAGGCTCCTGAGCTCAAGGCATTCTCCCGCGGCCTCCCAGAGTGCTAGGATTACAGGCGCGAGCCACTACAGCTGGCCTCACTCCATGAACATGGACTGAGTGCTTGTGATATACCAGGCTGGGTGCTATGTTACCTGGACTGTCCAGGAAGCAGGTCCTAAGATGGACACAGGAGCACAAGAGGTTTATTTCAGGGAAAGGGTGCAGGGCTAAGGCCCAGGAAGGGGAAGGAAGCAGGACTGGCCTGGAAGACCCTCATTTTGTGTTTCAGATCTAACAAAGTCTTGGCCAACCCAGTGTGTCTTCTGGGCAAAGAGTATTCATTAGGATCTCTTAGCTAATTGCCCTCCTTGCAGGTGAATAAATTCTTTCTTGGGAGATAGCTCACCTCCATGGCTGCCCACAGGAGCTCTGTGAAATATAGAGAAAAATAAGAAACATTTCTTCTTGCCCTCTAGGAGTTCAGAGTACACTCTAGAGCAGAAGACAAACACTCATGAAACTCTAATTTTCCAGAAGGCCTTTTAACTTTGTAAAGTTACTCAGCTTGGCTGCGATCAGGACAGAGACTTGGGGCCGCGTAGGCAGGTTCAGTGGAGATGAAAGAACAAGGGAAGTGGGGGAAACGTGTGAAATCAGGCAGATGTGCAACCTGGCTGGCTCTGCTACCAGCCTCTGAGGGACCTTGGTCAGGTCTCAGCCCCTCTCTTTGTTTCAGTATAACCATCTGCATCATGAAGGGGTCCAGGCCAGGTCAGAGCTACTTGACCTTTTGAGAATCTGATCAAAACTTGGAATCTTCTCCCCAGAAATGACATGTGCATTTGACTTTTTTTTTTTAATTGTGGTAAAAGATATATAACATAAAATTCACCATCTTAATGTATTCACTTTAGTGGCATTTAATACATACACAAGGTTGTGCAACCATTGCCACTGTGTAGATCGGGAATGTTTTCCTCACCCCAAAGGAAACCCTAAATCCATTAAGCAGCCACTCCCCAGCCCCCAGCAACCACAAATTCCTGTCTTTATTGATTTGCCTGTTCTGGATATCTCATATAAATGGAATCACACTTATATGATTACATTCATATAAATAAAAGCCCTTTTATTATATTAGCCTTTTGTGTCTGGTTTCTTTCATTTAACATATTATTCAGCCTCTTTATGGCTGAATAATATTTCACTGGATATCCCATTCATCTGCACCTTTGATTGGCACATGATTTTGCATTCAATTCCTGGGATTCTCTGAAGCTCACTCATGTGCCCCTGGGGTGGGGGTGGGATGAGGTCAGAGAACTTTGGATACGGAGTTTGGTCATCGGAAAGTATTTTTGTACTCGGGAATGAGTGACTAATAGCAATTTTGCATCTGCAGACTGGACATGAAGGGAGCCTTCATAGAGGAGGTAGAATTTGAGGTGGGCCACTGAGTAAGAGTTCTGTGGCAGGTCAGTTGCAGCACTCCAGGTGAGGGCAATGCAGCCAGTGCAAAGGCCAGGAGGTTATAGCATAGGCTCAGGCAATAGCGTCATTCCAACAGCGAGGCTCGAGAAGTTTCCTCCCAGTGCAGCAACTCTGGGCAACTTCCTCAAGCCCAGTGAGGAGGTGGTGACTGGGTTGACAGAAGACATAAATTATTGCTGTACATCTCTGTTTATTTCTACCCAGCCAGGTGCCAGGCATGTTGTCAGCTATTCCTACCGCAGGCCAAACATCCTCCCCAGACAGAAAACATGTTTCCTCCACAGACTGCATCATCCATTCCCCAGGGACAGCCACCCTCCCAAACTCCAGGCCGTGGGGGGCAGCTCTTTTCCAGCCCTTCACATCTGGCTCCACTCCCAAGTTCACTCTGTCACTTCTGCGCACACACCTGGTCTGCTCCACGTCATTTCTGTTGCCCCCTCACATATGTCCACATCCCCCCCCCACTGGCTTTTGCTCCTCCCATCCACCCTCACCCCTCTCATCTAGCTGCTGTTCCCTTACACGATGCGTCACGCCCCTCCCCTCCTTACCATGGCCCTGCCAGGAACACACTCAGCAAGAATTGCGTGTTCTTCTTAGCCCTGAAGATAGGCTACAGCAGGACGCTGCTCCCAGAATGGACAGGCCTCATTCAGCCTTGGGGATGACACACAGACTCTGGGACCCCAGGGTGGACTTTTTGAGGCCATATAGAGCATAAGCTAGAAGCAAGGGAGGCTTGAGGGTAAAATGTGCATTTGCTTCCCAAAGCTAATACAGACAGCATCTTAGAAACACTGTTTGCCCCCATCTGGGCAGTCTTCTTTAAGAGCAGGGACAGTGCCCTGTCTCCCAGGGTTGCTGTCCCCCTCTATGGTCTCATCCTGTTTTGTTGTGCTCAGAATTCTCATCACGGGATCCTTGTGGGGTCTGTCTGTGCTCACTAAAGAACAAGCAGACAGCAGAGGCCTTGCCCAGCAGACTCCTGGCTGTGTCCTCAGTTCCTGGATGGCACTGGCCCAGGTAAACTGTCCTAATGGATAGGGTTGGGGAAGCCAGCAGCAGCATCAGTAGGTTCATGGTAGGGGCAGGGACACAGCTGGCTTCTCCTGTGTGATAATACCCAGAGGCGAAACCACATTTTTGACATTTCTGGGACGACTGTTATAAGATTTTTCTTTCTTTTCTCTCTCTTTTTTTTTTTTGAGACAGAGTCTCACCATGTCACCCTGCATAGTGCGCTGTGGCATCACAGCAACTTCCAACTCTTGGGCTTAAGTGATGCTCTTGCCTCA